CTTCTTCTAATAATTAATCATATTGATCATCTTTTCACGTGCTTATTGGCACATGGAAGAAGATACTTTTTCTTTGGAGAAGTGTCTCCTAATCCTTTGCCCATTTTTTAATTGAATTATTTGTCTTTTTGTTGAACTGTCAGAACTTTTATATATTTTGAATACTAGCCTTTATCACTTACATGATTTGCAAATAGTTTCCTATTCTTCAGGTTTTCTTTGTTTTTCAGGTTTTCTTTTTATTTTCTTGATGAAAACTTTGAAGCACAAAAGTTTTTACTGTTGATGAAGTCTAGTTTATCTGATTGTTCTTTTGCTTGCGCTTTTAGTGTTATATCTAAGAACCCCTTGCCTAATCAAAGGCCATGAGGGTTCATGCCTGTTTTCTTCTGAAAGTTTCTTCTAAGGGTTTTATAGTTAAATCGCTTAGCTTTAGTCTTTGATCCAGTTTGTTATTTTTTTTATGTGGTCTGAGGTAGGGAGTCCAACTTTATTCTTTTCCATGTGGATGTCCAGTTGTCCCAGTACCATTTGTTTAAAAGACTATTATTTCCCCCATTGAATTGTCATGGCACCCTAGTCAAAAATCAGTTGATCATAAATGTAATGGTTTATTTCTGGACTCCAGTTCTTTTTTTTTTTTTTGAGTAAAAGTAGATTTATGTAGAAAGATGTACACGGGGGTGGGGGCTGGGGAGGCTGGTTAAAGTAACAGAGTGTGGGTATCCCTGAAGATGAGGGAGCAAGAGAGGCCGCCAGGTGCAGTGTTGCTAGTTTTTATGGACTTGGTAGTTTGATGAGTGTTTTTATCATTAAAAGGTGTTGGATTTTTGTCAAATGCTTTTTCTTCATCTGTTGAGATGATCACCTGGTTGTTTATTAATATAGCATATTACATTCTGTTTTATTTATTAATATAGTGTTTTATTAATTAATATGGCATATAGGCATACCTTCTTTTATTGTCCTTCACTGTTTTGTTCTTTGCAGGCATTGCTTTTGCTTTTTTTTTTTTTTAAACAAATTGAAGGTTTGTGGCAGCCCTGCATCAAGCATATCTATTGGTGCCATTTTTCTAACAGCATTTGCTCACTTTGTGCCTGTGACACATTTTGGTAATTCTTTCAGTATTTCAAACTTTTCATTATTGCTGTTGTTATGGTGATCTGTGATCAATGATCTTTGATGTTACTATTATAATATTTTTGTTTTGTATTTTTAAATTAAAGTATGTACTTTATTAAAGACATAATGCTATTGTACACTTAATAGACTGCAGTATAGTGTAAACATAAGTCTTAAATGCACTGGGAAACCAAAAAATTTTTGTGACTCTCTTTATTGCAGTGGTCTGGGGCTGCATCTGCAATACATCCAAGGTGTGCCTGTATTGTTTTTGTATATTGAATTAACCTTGCATTCCTGGAATAAATTCTGATTTTTCGTGGTGTATAATCAATTTTTATAATATGTTGCTGGATTTGGTTTGCTTATTTTTTTGAGGGGTTTTACATTAGTATTCATAAGGAATATTCAGTAGTTTTCTTTTCTTGTGATGTCTTTGTTTTTGACATGAGAGTGATACTGGCCTAATAGAATAATTTGGGAAGTGTTTTCTCTTCTTTTGTTTTTCTGGAAAAGTTTGTGAAAGATTGGTGAAGGATTCTATTTTAAACGTTTGGGAGAATTCACCCATGAAGCCATCTAGTTCTGGACTTTTCTTTGAGGGAAGTTTTTGATTACTAACTCAATCTCTTGTTATAGGTCTATTCAGATTTTCTATTTCTTCTTGATTCAGTTTCTGTACTTTTTTGAGTCTTTCTAGGAATCTGCCCTTTTAATCTAAGTTATCTAAGTTGTTGGAATATAGTTGTTCATATTATTCCCTTATTATCCTTTTTTTTTCCTGTAAGTTTGGTGGTAATATCCCCTCTTTCATTTCTGATTTTAGTAATTTGATCCTTCTCTCTCTCTTTTTTTATTGATCAGGCTAGCATAAGGTTTGACAATTTTGTTGGTGTTTTCAAAGAATCAACTTTTGGTTTCATTTCTTTTTCTTTTTCTTTTTTTCCTGTCTCTGTTTTATTAACTCCTGCTCTAATCTTTATTCTTTCCCTCTTTCTGCTTATTTTGGGTTTGGTTTGCTCTCCTTTTTCTAGTTTCCTAAGGTGGAAGCCTAGGTTTTTGGTTTGAGGGTCTTTCTTTTTAGATTGAGACTAAAGCTGGTGATTGTATTCCTTAAAATGTTTCCAGATGACTGTCCAAGCAGAAATATGGTTATGAGGAAGAATTAGTTTTTTAGAATTTTTCTAGGAAAAAACTGTTTAGATGTTTAGATAGATATTCAAAATTGAACATGAATCAGTAACATTATGTTATCATTTCAAAAATAGGAACAGAATCCAGTGCACAAATAAAACCCATAGCAAATTCCCATTCTCAACACCAAAACTGGGAGTGTTTTGTTCACTCTCAGGAGTTTAGATAAATCACATTGCAATTTAAAATTTGACTGTTAATAACCTCCTGCTCAAGAACTCAACACAATCATTTTTATAGCTAATTACCATATAAGGTAACTAAGAACTAGGGATAGCCCACTCCCTTGGGTAGGAGAATGTCGTTGTTACACAAAATCAGTTGGATGTGGAGTCTTACTCAAAATCGATTCTCTGCATTCTTTTTTAATGCCACAGTCTTCAACACTTAATGCATGCTGTAGGTATCTCTTATTTTTCTTCATTCCTTAATTTCCTCTGTATCCTTTAAACTTATTTATTTGACCAAAGTCTCTTTTGTTCATTATGCAAACATATCTTTGCTTTAAACAGAACCAATTTGATGGATACTTCAGTTCCTCATCAAACATAGTTTTCCTATGCATAACATTTTCTTTGGCCAACTCCAGCAATTTCCCACATTTACTAGGTCACTAGTCTGGCATTTGGACATGCAATCATGTTAACTCCCATTTTCTTTTGTAATCCAGCCTCTTCTATTTAGATAAAATGTAACAATCAATAACTTTTATAATATCTTTACTTGGAAATTTTACAAAAATAAAATTACCTCTAGAATATTGCTACCTTTCCCCAATTTTCATTCTACAATTAATGGTTTAAAGGAAAGAACATTGGAAAGGCTAAGAAGAGAATAACTACAATGATTAGATAGTTCTCATAAGCTTATTCAACCTTAAGGGAATTGTGATTATTTAGGCAGAAGTGAAGAAAGTCAATGGTTTCTCATGAAATGTAGTCTCATGAAACTGTGGTGTTCACAGAGGCTGCTGTTTTCTTCTCAGGAGGATGACAGAAAGTGGGCTTTGGATGCAACGTAAAGATCTTGGGTTAGGCATTTTCTCTACAGTGATAACAATGGGATGAGTAGCCCAGGAAATTGTGAAATACTCTCTACTGATCTTAAAAGACATAATGGACACTTAATCACCTGGATTTGTTTAGGTATGGTGCTGGTTAAAGCGAAAGAAAAGGATCAGATAACTTCATGCTTTTCTATTTAATATACCCAATAGATTTTTGACTAGGAGAAGGAAAATGAACAAGATGTAGCCCAGTATTGTAACAACAATCAGCCTTAGGGAATCATTTTGAAAGCATCTCACCCAAATTGACTACATAGTGAAAAATTCTGGTGCCTGGGTTTCATAGGGTAGAAAAAGGAAATGGAGTCAGGTGGTCAACACTTCATCTTAAGATCAGTAATGAGATTCTCCTTGCTGTAGTTCTGTTTTGACTGTTCTAGACAATATCAAATTAGTTTCAGTGGCTTGATTCTAGGCCAAGATTCTGGCAAGAGATTGTAGTCTTGCTTTGTTTTGTTCAGTCTCACTGCATTTCTCTCTCTTGTCTTTTTTCTTTCCCTTAGGCTGAGAGTAAGAAGCTTGGATTAGTAGGCTGGGTCCAGAACACGGACCAGGGCACAGTGCAAGGACAATTGCAAGGTCCGACCTCCAAAGTACGTCATATGCAGGAATGGCTTGAGACAAAAGGAAGTCCCAAATCGCACATTGACAGAGCAAGCTTCAACAATGAGAAAGTCATCTTAAAGTTGGATTACTCAGATTTTCAAATTGTGAAATAATGGTCTGAATTTAAAATTTCCAAGATACCCAGTGGTTTTGTTTTTTATTGTTAATAGAGATAGAGCTATTCTGTGTTCAATATTAGAATTTGTCAATAAGTTATTTTAGTACCAGATATTTGATAGTTACTGTATATTATATGTATGATGGAAGGATTATAGTTCTATGTACACAGTTCTAATCAATAAAAACACAGTACCTTCTGTGTAGGATACTTATTTTTTCTTTGGTGAACTTCATTTTGGGCAAAATAAGAGGGGTTTACTGAGTAAATCTTTGGGAAGAGAATTTTGAGGTAGTTTAAAGAAGTCTGAAAGAAAAAGTTAGCAGTTACTTGTAATCATTTCTTTTAAATAGTTTCAATGAAATTTTCTTCAGGAAATTGCACAACTAGTAAGAACAAATACTACAAGTTCAATTTTTTAGCTGTTCAAATCGTATTTTGGACTAATTATTTTTCATTTTCTGGAGTTTTCTGCCATCATTCCTGTCCTCTGGGTAAGGAATTAACATAAATCAATGTTATGGGCTAATTTATGTCCCCCGAAAATTCATATGTTGAAGTCCCAACCCCCAGTACCTCAGAATGTGACTGTATTTGGAGATAGGGCCTTTGTGGAGATAGTTAAGGTTAAATGAGATCGATAGGATGGGCCCTAATCCAGTATGCCCCAGTGTCCTTATAAGAAGAGGAAATTTGGACCACAGACATGTGTATGCACAGAGGAAAGAACATGGGAAGACAGAGAAGACAGCAATCTATAAGCCAAGGAGAGAGGCCCCAGAAGAAATCAACATTTCAACACCTTGATCTCAGATTTCTAGTCTCCAGAACTGTGACAAAATAAATTTCTGTTGTTTAAGGCACTCAGTCTGCAGTATTTTGTTATGGCAGCTTTAGCAAACTAATACAAGCAATGAGCATTTTGTTTCATCAGCCTCAGATACCTCCTGATTTGGTTCGGTCAGCCATTTTAAAATGTATATATCAAATGCTTACTGGGTTTGACAAGTTTCTCATAAATTCCAATTTTTAAAAATAAAAGGTTTCAGTGAAAACAAGACAAAGCAAAAACTGAACGTTGGTGAACAATTCCCCCAAGTACCTATTCACACAGTGTCCTTGGAGTTCCACTCTCATTTCATTAGAAAAGATGCAGATGGTGGGTAATAGCTCAGTGGTAGAGTGCCTTGCTTAGCATGCACGAGGTCCTGGATTCTGTTCCCCAGGACCACTACTTGAAAAAGAAAAAGAAAAAGAAAAAAGAAGATGCAGTGGTATTGGGAAGATACCAAAAAAGTCAGTGAAGGGAGTCTTGTCCTCATCTGCAAATTAAGAACTGAGCTAGACAGTTTCTTGGTCTTTTCCAGTTCTGAAATGCTATAGTTCTGGCCCTGGATTTATTCATTAATTGAATGCCTAACATAAAGCGCTGTTCTTGCCATGGGGATAGAGTAGCAAACAAAACTGACAAAAATCCCTTCGTTCATATAGTTTATATCCTAGTGAAAGGAGACATATGATAAGCAAAATATATATTGAATTAAGTGGTAGTACGTGCAAAAGATAAATGAGAGAAATGGAAAGAAGAAAAACAAAAGTAAACATTGCTAGAAACAGCTTTTTCAAGCCATGCTAAAACGGATAAGGACTGAGAATTCAGAGTACCAGTGTGAAGAGACCTTGGGACACAGGAATCCCCAGGGCGGTAACACCTGGTGCGCATGCGCATTGGGGTGTCGCGGACTAGGTGCTCTCAGCGAGGCGGCTCAGAAGCGCATGCTCGCGAGCTCGCGCGTGCATGAGTCTCGCGTGCATGAGCCCCGCGAGCCAACGTGCGCGCGTCCGGTGTTCGGAGGTGGTTGATTTACGCGAGTTGGTGAGGCGCGATTCGGGGTGACTTTGGGGAAAGCATGCGATGAAAGGAAGATTCTGGGAGCTCTTCTAACTCCAAAAGGGCCGTGGCGACTGCTGCGGGCCAGCTTCACGGACCTAGCTGGCAAAGGCTCCGGGAGGCCTCTCGGCCTGCCTCCAGCCTGTCCACCAAGCCTGCGCAGGCCGGGGTTTCGGGTTGGCTGGGGAGGGGGCGGGGGTGCAGCCTGAGCCTGGGGGTGCTCTGCGGTCGCAACACTGCTCCCCGAAGCTTTCTTAGCTCAGAACCCGGATCGAATCGGACCATTTGTCTCAGGAGCTGTGGCCCTGGAAGAACTGGAGTGTAACCAGGAAATCGTTGAGCTGGGTACAGACCGGAATACTTACTAAATGTTTATCTCTCATTTGCTGCTGGCTGCAAAGTTCATTATCTTAGAAATCGTCAGATCTGCAGTTATAGCTCTGATTTTCCCGAGTTTGAAAAACTAGCCCTGCCTACCACTTGCGACGGGTCCAGCCCATGCTGCTCTCAGCTTGAGGGACCTTAACTGAAGAATAATCTTTTTTTTTTTTTTTTTTTACCTGCAGGAAAATTTAAAATCACGTTTAGACAGTCCCTGGCCATCATTATTATTACCAAAGTACTTTGATGCTATCGGGAAAGACCAAGAATATTAATTCAAAACAATAGTAAGGACCTTCTGAAAAATTGAAAGTAATATATGAACAAGATTACAAATCAAATGATACAGAAAGGCTTACAATGAAAACGAATTTTCATGCCCTATCCTTTCTCATTTTTGGGGGGTGGGGGTGGGGGTAATTAGGTTTATTTATTTATTAATTTATTTTAATGGAGGTACTGGGGATCAAACCCAGGACCGTGTTCATGCTAAGCACGCGCTCTGCCACTGAGCTGTACCCCGCCCTACTCCCCCACCCCGTCCTTTCCCATTCTTAGTCTCTTTCCCCTGAGGTAACTGCATTTAACCAATAATAGTAATAGTAATTATTAATAATCTTAATACCCATCTCTTCTTGTTATAGCAATTTGATTTTATTTCCCTTCTGTTTCTACACCTTAGTTACTGTAGTGTCGTAACACTTCATTATAAGTATTTTCTAAAAGTCATGATTATTGTGTAATGTATGAATGTTATGAAACTAGCTTGGACTTTTTTTTCATGAATAATTTCTAGCTAATGTTTCTTAGTGGAATTTAGGCATCTTGGCATTTTGGTGAAGTGATTAGAATTTTGAAAACTGTCTTAAGGGTCAACTTCAAGTGTGTCTATGATTTCACTTTAGGGAATGTGGAATTTAGAGAGGAGCAATAAAAATTACGAAATTATGAATCCTGCTTTGGATGTTAAATTCACTTCACCAAACATAAGCTGTGTGATCTGCCTAGAGATCAGAGCTATAATTTGTTTTGCTTTGTTTTACAATGTGGTTTAATAAGAGATTTCATTTACCTCAACTATTTCTTCATAGTGCTTGAGAGAAATGGTTGCTGCCGTGTAAGTCTGAAGCTTTAATAGTGTGTGTTCCTGTTTTCCCTCCTTCCAGAGGCAATTACTTCCAGTCAGAAAGAGAAACCAGTGCCTGGCAATCTCACCAACTTTCTACCTGCCATGATCAAGTGCTTGTCAGTTGAAGCACAAGCCAGATTGCGTTCTGGTTTGGCTATATGTTCCTTAGGCCAGTGTGTTGAAGAGCTTGCCCTCAACAGTATTGATGCTGAAGCAAAATGTGTGGCTGTCAGAGTAAATGTGGAAACCTTCCAAGTTCAAGTGATAGACAATGGATTTGGGATGGGAAGGGATGATGTAGACAAGGTGGGAAATCGTTATTTCACTAGTAAATGCAACTCTGTACAGGACTTGGAGAACCCAAGGTTTTATGGTTTCCGAGGGGAGGCCTTGGCCAGTATAGCTGACATGGCCAGTGCTGTGGAAATTTCATCCAAGAAAAGCAAGTCAGTGAAAACTTTTGTGAAACTCTTTCAGAATGGAAAAGCCCTGAAAGCTTGTGAAGCGGACCTGACTAGACCAAGTGCCGGGACAACAGTAATTGTACACAACCTGTTTAATCAGTTACCTGTCAGGAGGAAATGCATGGATCCTAGACTGGAATTTGAAAAGGTTAGGCAGAGGATAGAAGCTCTGTCACTCATGCACCCTTCCATTTCTTTCTCTTTGAGAAATGATGTTTCTGGTTCCATGGTTCTTCAGCTACCTAAAACCAGAGATGTATGTTCCCGCTTTTGTCAAATTTATGGACTGGGTAAGTCCCAAAAGTTAAGAGAAATAAATTATAAATATAAGGAGTTTGAGCTTAATGGCTATATCAGCTGTGAAGCACATTATAATAAGAATATGCAGTTTTTATTTGTGAACAAAAGGCTAGTTTTAAGGACAAAGTTGAATAAACTCATTGACTTTTTATTAAGAAAAGAAAGTATTATATGCAAGCCAAGGAATGGCTCTGCCAGTAGGCAAATGAATTCAAATCGGTCTAACCCAGAATTCCTCTATGGTATATATGTGATCAATGTGCAGTGCCAGCTCTGTGAGTATGATGTGTGCATGGAGCCAGCAAAAACTCTGATTGAGTTTCAGAACTGGGATACTCTTTTGGTTTGCATTCAAGAAGGAATAAAACAGTTTTTAAAGAAAGAAAACTTATTTATGGAATTATCAAGTGAGGACATTAAGGAATTCAGTGAAGATAATGATTTTAGTTTACTCAGTGCCACTCTTCAGAAGCAAGTGTCCTCTGATGAGAAGTGTGACCAGGTCAGTTTCCAAGAAGCATGTAATAATATTTTGGATTCCTATGAAATGTTTAATTTGCAATCAAAAGCTGTGAAAAGAAAAGCTCCTATAGAAGACATAAACACAGAGAGTTCTAGGGATTCAGATGCTGTCAGAAAAAAGGCAGATTGTTCATTTTTGTACACTTATGAATCAGATGGCCCAGGCCATAGTAAAATGACCGAGTTGTCTTTACAGAACAAAGACAGAACTTGTTCAGAATCAAAGACCTTAGAACAAGAGACAGCTGAAGCATCAGAATCAGGAGAAAATGAGAAACCTAAAAAATCTTGCTTGGAACTTAACTCTTTGGAAAATCCATGTGGAACCAGTTCAGAAATGTCTGCAGGCCCTTTTCAGACATATCACTTTGAGGAGAGTGGAGAAGATCAAGAAATACAGACAGTGAGTACTGCTGTTAATGGCACAGCTGTCAACTTCCTGAAAAATAATAGAATTCAGAATCAACCAGAGAGATTTAAAGATGCTACTGAAATGGAATGCCAACCTCTGGCTTTTGAGACAACATTATTGAGAGTACCCAGTGCTCGGAGAGAGGATGAGAAAAGAAAAAAAGAACCTAGTAATTGTGGAAGAACAAATGTTTTTAGTTATGGACAAGTTAAATTATGTTCCACTGGCTTTATAACTCATGTGGTACAAAATGAGCAAACAAAATCAACCGAAACAGAACATTTATTTAAAAACTGTGTTCAGCCTGGTCCTGTGAGTGCCAAAGAAGCATTTGGAAATAGAACACACCATTCAGTTGAGACTCCAAACACCAAAGATTTAACCAGCACTTTAAGTAAAGAATTTGCTCAACTGCCCAACAAAAAACTGTGCAGAACAAATACAAGTTATAGGGTAGAGAACAAACCTATAGCAACTTACAAAAATTTTGCTATTTTTCAGGAAGGTAGTAAAAAATCACATACAGGTTGCCTTTTACCTGACCCATCCTCTTTCTCTTGGTGTAACCCTGTTTCAAATGGTAGTAAGAGAACAGATGAATTGATGGGTTCCACCAAACCCATAGCTCATAAGAAGCTAAGCTTAAGTTCACAACTAGGATCTTTAGAGAAGTTTAAGAAGCAATATGGGAAGGTTAAGAATCCTCTGAATACTGAAGTGAAGGAAAATAATTTAGAAATCACTACCAATCTCAGTCCTCAGGTTGAACCTGACATTCCATGGAAAGACAAAAACCACGTAGACAACTCTGGTATTTGTAAAATCACTACTGTGAAACATGATGATTCAAATAGTTGTCACCCACCAAGTCACATGTTTTTTTCAGAAAAGTTTCTGTTCTCCAAGGAAGAAGATTGTTTGGAACAACAGATGCCTTGCTTAAAAGAAAGTCCTATAGCTCTAAAGGAGTTACCTCATTTTAACAGAAAGCCTTTGAATGTTGAGAACTCACCTGAATCACTAGCCTCTAAATTATCCAGAATGAAGGGTCCTGAAAGAGAGACTCAGACAACTGAGATGAGGAGTCATTTTAACGAACTTCCACAATCAGATTCCAGTAGGAAAGACAGTGACTTGTGCAGTGGGTTAACCCTAGATTCTTGTAACTTATTTAAAAATGAGCATAAAAAAACAGAAAATGGCATCATCCCAATGTCAGACTTTGGCACACAGGGTAATCCCTTCAATAGTGACAGTGAAATGCATTCTAACAGCAATACAACAGAGAACCCTGTGATACCAGAAACTCCTTTGGTTTTGCCCTATGATAATTCCACAGTTAACAGTAAAGTTTCAGATGTTCTGATAGCTGCAGAACAACAGATTGGAAATCCTGACTCTCCAAATAGAATGTTAATGAGTCAAGTAGAAGATGCCACAGCTGCCCAAAATGGAACTTGTTTTCAGAGTGAAGAATCTATAGCAAGAGCTTGTTCTGGAAATGAAGAGTCCAGCACATGTTCTTCAGGTTGGCAGCAGCATTTTGACGTAGCCCTGGGAAGGATGGTCTACATCAACAAACTCACTGGACTTAGCACATTCATTGCTCCTACTGAGGACGTTCGGGCTGCTTGTACTAAAGATCTGACAACTATGGCTGTGGATGTTCTACTCGAGAATGGTAAGTACGATGTTCATGAATGTTTTTGAAGATGGGAATAATGGCCAAGGAGTAAGAGAATCATTGTCCAAAGAAACTATCTCAACAGAACATTTTGAAGTTTAATTATAAAACGTGTTTTATTGTATATGAAGATTGTCTAGGTCCAATACTATTTTAAGTCTAGAAGTACAATGGAAGAATGATATAGAATGCAAGTGTGTGTGTATATATATATATATATATATATATATATATATATATATATATATATATATATGTCTGTGGGTGTGGGTATGTGTAACAGGTGAGACAGTTCTTAATGAAAATGGTGCTATTGATAGTTGAGAAAATCCACAGTGCTTCCCTACCCTACTTTCCCCTCTCTCTTATGTTCTCTTAGAAATTTGTCTTTAAAGTCACCTGCAATGCCAGGGTGGTATTTTTCTGGAAGTAGCTCTCTGCAACTCCCAGGTAAAAGGCCAGAATGGTCCTGTAATCATCCTAGGTTCCCCAGTAAAATCTGTGGCTCAGTACAGTACTATATTTATGAACTTTTTCTTTTTTAAAGAAAATAGGATTTGACCATAAATTTTTGGAATATACATTGAGTATTTTTATAACTATACTTTTCAAATGTACTTTATTATAATATATATGCTAATCCACTTGATCTGTATAAGTGGCTATTATTCAGAAAGACAGTAATGTGGCTTTTAGATCAGACCACAAGGCCATATGGGAGCCTAGGCTAGGACTTCTGAGTTCCTGAGTCTCAGTCAACTTTAAAAGTGACATTGTTTTGGCCAGATGTTGGGAGATGGTAAAACTGATTTCACCTGACAATAATCTTGGTTTTGCATCAGGAGGATAAACGTTTAAATGTGCATCTGTATTAAAAGTCTTGAATGTTGCAAAAGAATGTAAATTTGTATGAAGGTAATTGCAAATTACCTTATAATTTCTCCTTAGTATAAATATCTCTAGCAAGAAGCTCTGATTTATTTAAGGTTAAATAAGATTTTTATTTTTCAATGGTTTCAAGTTTTTTTCCTTGTGAAAAAAATAATCACTGTAGTCACTTTCTAAGTATTAAATAGGAGAAAACTCTTTCCTTTCAATACTGCTCCTGAGACTGTCAGGTTGCTCTTAAAGACACATGTGTTTTTCAATGTATGTAGCTTTATGTCCTGATTTATACTGAATGCTTATCAGAGGTAAAGCTAAGGCACTGGCACCTCATCTTCCTGAAATGCAACTTCTTCTGATATGGTGACAAAAAAAAAAAAAACTTATGTTAAAGTGAGATGGTTGTTGCTAAAACAAAGGGGGGAAATCTTGGCTGCCAGACTCAACATAAGCATCTGTTCCTGTTAAATACATCTAGATATTTAAAACACTTCAACCTACTTAACTTCTGGATTAGTAAGTCTTGTAGTGAACTTCTGACGGTCATGTTAAGTCAGAGATTCGTGATGAAGAATAAAGTCTTTGGGGTCTAGACACTAGTTCCAAGAAGAGATGGCTCCCGAGCACCCACCGTTCACAAGAAGGGTCACCTTGGTGGAAATGGCTGGGGTGTAGCAGGATATCAGGGCGTTGTTGAACCACACATAAAATGTCACAGAAGATGAACTATTAAGAGGTAGATTTAATTGTACAGAAGAGGAGATCTATAAAGATAGTTCTAAGGAGTAGCATCAAGTCTCCAAGCCCTGGCAGTTTTTTTCCTTTAAGATGACTTTAACTCTCTCCTTTCTGTTACCAGTGACAGGGCCTTAGTTCACCTCACATTTAAATTTTATCATTCTGAAATCATCTCTCTCCCGTTTTTGTCCAACGGATTTATCTTTTTGAAATAATAATTTCATCATGTTTTGCCCCTGTTCAAAACTGTCAAATTCAGCATTGTTTCTAAAACTCAAATCTGATATCATCCTTCAGAGATAAGAGTAGAGTTTGGGCCAGATCTTACTGGACTTGGAATTTTATTTTATTTTATTTTTATATGAGCATCAAGCACTTGCTGTATAGAAAGATCTTTAGCTCTAATACTAAAAGTATAGAATTACAGAGCATAATTTTTAACACTTAATTGCAGGTACATTAACTATGGCATGTTTCATGAATTAGAGGAAAACAGGCATTTTTGTCTTGAATTTACTATTGACAGCCTAACCTGAACAGTTCTGCTAAGCAATAATATGTTACAAAGAAAAGTAAAAACCAAACTTTACTGTTGCTTTTTGCCATGTGGTAGTATTTTATACACAGGCTTCGATTTCAGAATACCCTGGATTCAATAGAAAAATCTTTTAAATGAAGCTGTGTACAATAGAAGTCAAAATTTCAGCAGTCAAAATTTAGGCTGTAAAAAGATACATGCAAAAGATACTTTTTTTTGAAAACACTTAACCTTGAACAAAGCACCAAACTACACAAATGCAGAATGAAAACAGCATTTCAACTCCACCAAAAATAGTCATCATAAAAGGTGTAAAATTCACATAATGGACTGGAATTTAAATTGAGAGCTTTTCATTCATTCATCTATTTGTTTATTCACTCATTTATTGATCATTCACACTGTGCTAGGGGCTGCCACATTGCAAATTAACTGACTTTGCTCTCAGGAGTTCACGGTCTATTAGGGAAGACAGCCATCTAAACACAATTATAATATGATGAGATAAATGTTATAATAGACACATACTGGGGACACACATATGTAGACACGTATATTGGGGAGACATGTAAATCGGGGATCAATTTTGAGTCCTCATTCTGTCTTATGTAGGTGGATAATAGGTCTAAGCATTAATGTAGATCCCTAAATTGGCAGAAAAATTTAATTAAAGGACTGACTCAATCTAGTGTTTAGTAGTCTGCTTTATGTCTTAATTCAGTTTGTTTAGAAAGAGAGTTTATGTAACTTAATTTTTTAATAGCTTATTTTTTGAGTTCAAATGTCTAGGTTTTTCTTTTTGATATTTAGGATCTCAGTACAGGTGTCATCCTTTTAGAAGCGACCTCGTTCTTCCTTTCCTTCCTAGAGCTCCGGAAGAGAGGATTGTGATGAGACAGAATAACAGAGGTAGGGGCATTAACAGAGCTTGCCGGGACATCTAGTACATACCGTGCCACCTAACTCAAAGAAGACAAAGCACGGTTGGTTATTAAGCTTGATCAGTGCCAGCTGTGCCTTCCTGGAACCAGCAACTCCCCATGGTCCTATTTAACAGCAGAACTAAGTAATTCAGTACATGCACTTAGATTAGAAATTACTTTTCCAGACGAAGTCAGAACTAGGTGATTATGCACAGTCTGTGGTGTCTTGTGATTGAGAAAATGTTTCTTAGTTTTAAATACTGGAGTAGATGAGTTGACTCCATATTGCAGTAGTCTTATATAAGCAAAATTCTGAATTCTTATCTGCAAAAAAAGCTAGACATTATTTTTCTTTTGTTTCTAAAAATAGATAAGGTATATATTTTTACCTAAATACCTGTATTTTTGTGCTGGGTCTTTACCTATTTGAAGCAGTTTCTTTGGGACTTGTATTCTGAAATATCTCCTGGAAAGAGTTTGGAGGAAAAGCTATAATGCCAGAAGACAGTCATCAACTCAAGTTTAAAAAGTAACAGATCAAAACAATTTAGAGATACAGCAAACACTGCACTTTTGTAGAATATCGGAACATGTGTCTGATCTTTGGTCTTGAGGCTACACCACACCAAGCATGAAACACCATTTGGCCTCTTCCTTGAGGTTCTTGATGCCAATTTTACCTGTCCCATTTTGCTCTAGATACTGGAGGTGATGCTGTGGGTCGCGAATCGCTTCAGTCTTTGTTCTCAGAATGGCACAATCCAGTATTTGCCCGTTATCCAGAGGTAGGTCTGCAGAAATTTTTCTTCGCTTGTTATTTAAAAATGTAAATTGCATTTAAATTGAGTATGGGCATGAATGACTATATTGATTTGTAATTATGAATGGAAAGTGAGGATGTTTCCAGATAATTTATTTGGAAATTAATATTTAATGCAGAGTGGAGGAATCAGAATTCATAGCATTTTGGGAGCTTAGACATTTTGGATTAGACATATGTAATCTGAATGGCAAATGTGTCTACCACTCTCACAAACCCTGACTTGTAGCTTTGGCAAAGTATTTAGGGTGGTGGTGATAAAAACTGTTATAATTAGATAACGCAGTGAATCTTCTGCTGGAGGAACAGTTCATCACTGGACCTGAGTGTCTGTCCTCTCCTCAGTGGGTTATCACAGAATGTGCTCAGTGTGTTGTAATAAGGATGCAGAGTAGATGAGCATTTGATTACTGATTCATCAGTTAAGATCTAAGGCCTTGCTCATGGAGCACAGACAAATTGTTATTCTGAAACAATATTGGGTTTTGTCAGTAATTTTGTTTATAAACAAAAATTATTATTTAAGAGTAATAATTCACAAAGCCTTTTGCATTTTCATAAGTTCCCGGAATTTAACCCCCTTCTAATAGGTTCTGTGAAAAATGAATGTTTTTAAAGCACTTTGAGATCGTTGATAGAACAGTCCTGCAGGTATAAAAGATTACAATGTAAATGACGTTTGTGCTGGGTCTTTCCAGGTTGCTGTTGATGTAAGCAGCGGCCAGGCTGAGAGCCTAGCAGTTAAAATTCACAACATCTTACATCCTTACCGCTTCACCAAAGAAATGATTCATTCGGTGCAGGTAAAAAAACTGACTTTGAAATCTCATTAAACTAGACTAACTTGTGAAATTGGATTTATTTAATGACATAGACCACCCTGGTCAAGGCACATATATTTAAAAAAAAAAATCTTACTGGAACTTTTATCATCAGAAGAAAAAGTAAAGGACTGATTATAATTACAAAGAAAAAAATGTCCTTGGTAGTGTGAGCAGGTTTGGAGGGATGCTTTATGGGTTCAGGCTCACAATTTCAAGGATTATATATTGACTGTATATTTTGACAATAGCTTATAAATCAACTAAGTACTGTAGAGACATTGTCCTTAAATGTGCAACAATGCCCCTTTTAACATCACCCTCTATTGTATGAGGCTTCAGATGACATGGCTTAGGAGACCCAAGATTGAGGAGCTCCATGAACAGAAGGGACCCCTTTCTCAACCACTTTTCTGCTTTGCCCTCTGTCTACACCACTCAGGCTGTCCTCGCCTCCTTGTTTTCCATACAGAAATAAACTAGGAACTTAGACACATCTGGGTAGAGAGGAGCCACCAAGCTCTAAAGCCACCGGTGGGTTTTAACTTACTGCTTTAATGAACTAGCTCCTTCAGAATGGTTTTCCTTGCTTTTGCACAAATTTTCCAAATTTTTTTAGCTCTATTTTGTTAGCAGTCTCTGGTCATATTAATAATTCTCTAGTCATATTACCGATTAATGTGAGTCATTCTGTTGGGAACATTTCAAGTCTACTCTGAAGTTCTATTAGCATAACCCTCTTAGATGCCTTCGTCTGTGTTCCCTTGTAGTTTCCTTCCTTTAACATGCCATAAAAATGTCTCCTGGTCTCTCTACTTGCCCATTCTTTCATCCTTTCTAATGACTCCCTCAGGTCCATGAGCACCTGTCCTCGGTCTTAGATACGAATGTTATAATGCAGGTGACTCTAAATGAAGTACAGTTTTGTCTCTCTCTATGCAGATAAACTTTTGTTAGTTTTTATTTAGTATTGTACCACTTATTTGAATGTCTGCCAGGTTCTCCAGCAAGTGGATAACAAGTTTATTGCCTGTTTAATGAGCACTAAGACTGAAGAGAATGGTGATGAAGGTAAGAATGGAGTTTAGCCTCAATAACCAGCTGGTCTTCTGATAGCCTCCTTTTAAGATTATTTTTTATATACAATGTAGTTTCAGTCATTTGGACAGATTAGGGAAACCCAATCTAAATTAAATTTAGTATTTAATTAAATATTATGAAACAACAGTTTTAAAGTGCATTCAGTTTTATATATACACATAGAGATATAATTATATAAGATACATGTTGAACTTGTTTAACAGTGGTTACCTTGGGAATGAGAATGGAAGTGGTCAAGGAGGAAATTTCATCTTTTACTCTTTAAAATATTTTATATTGTTTGACTTTTAATAATATTTTAATGTGTTCCCTGTACAATAATAGAAAGTTTATATAATGAACTCTGCTAGGTTTGTCAACAGTTACAATCTCTTGGTGACCTGCTTTAATAAGACAGTAATAGTTTATAAGTAATAATATAACTCATTCAACAAATATTGACTTCAGTGTCTATGGCATGCCAGAGACTGTGCTAGGGATACAATGGTGGGAAAAAATGTACATGCGAGAGAAATAGATGATCACACAAACATTAAAATTTTAACTCTAGCTAGCGTTATGGAGGAGAGAAACAAGATGCTGTAAGAACCTGTAATTGGAGATTTGATTTTGTCACGGAGATCAGGGAAGATTTTCTGGGTAAAGTGAGATCTGGAGTATGAGTATGGGTTAACTAGATAAAGAAGAGATGGAGGAATATTCTGGACAGAGAGAATAACGAATGCAATTTGTGCTTTCCTCTTTAGTAATAGGAAGCAGGGCAAGCCCTTCCTAGTGTGAGAGCAAGGAGCCAAGGCTAGAGACGTAGGTTGCAGCCAGGTATTAAATGCCAGTTACAAGCTTTGTCTTCGTCCCAGCACCAGTTGGAAACAATTGAAAGCTTCTAGTTTTCTTTATCATTGTTTGTTTTCACAGCAGCACGTGTCGCATCACATTTGCATTTTGAAAATATTGCTGTGGCTGCAGTGTGGAGCGGGGATTGGGTGTGAAGGTGGAGTCCTAGTAACTGCAGAGAGACTGTTAGGAGGATATTGCAATACCTAAGAAATGATGGTTAGCCAGGACCAGAGTGGCCTAGAGAGAAGAATATTTAGGAGATATAGTCAACAGGACTTGGTGATGGATTGGATATGGGGAAGGTATATCAAAGATGACTCTTGGTTTTCTAACCTCCATAACAAAGTGAATGATGTTGCAGGACCAGGTTGGAGGAGAAGCAGGCAGGGAAGGTGAAAGTCATGAGTTCAGTCTGCAGTCCCTTTGAAATGATCAGGAAGAAATGTCAAGAACGTGGTTGGATATTACAGGTCTAGGATTAGGGGAGTATTCTGACATGGAGATCTAAATCTGAGTTGTCAGCATAAAGTTGGTCATTGAAGTCATGGGCAAAAATTGTGTCATTTAGAGGAAGAGTGAAGAGTGAGGAGAAAAGAGATTCTGAATCTAGGATAATTCCATCATTTAATAGCTGGGTAGAAAAGGGTGAACCAGCAAGAGAGGTTATGGAGGAACAGAGAAATAGGAAGAAAATAGGCAAAGGTTGTGTTGCAAAGCCAAGACTTTGTACTAAGTGCTGCCGAGAGGTTAAGTAAGATGAGGACCAAAAATATCAGTTAGATTTCCTGACAGTGAAGGCCAAGGACTTCAGCAAATGAGAGCTGTTTCAGAGAGGAGATGATAGGGCAGGATGCTGACAGGCTATAGAAATCTGTGATGTGGGAGAGGATGAGAGAAGGCTTTTTTTTTTTTTTAACTGGGAGACCCTTGAGCTATTCTTGAGCCATTTATAAGGAATGCTTGATCCTGTAAGGTTCTGGAAAAGGCCTCAGTGGCTGAGAGCCCTGAGCACCACAGGAGGAGTTGGCTCCCAAAGGGTAGATCTGCAGGCGAGGGCTTCTAAAGTTTGAAAGTAGTTCATTCTCTTTGTATTTCAAAATATTTCCTTTTATCTTATTTACAGTATAAATTTATTTAGTAAATGTTATAACATATCAAAGGCAAACTAACCAAAAGTTCTGTCATAATTATAATAAATACAGAATTAGTGAAGGTTAAATTCTATGCTTTTACTGTTTCTAGAAATAGGTTTTTTTCCTAAAGTTTGGATTACCTGGAATTCTTTGTTGGTTAATACAAAATCTCTAATAATGGCACCAGAGGTGGGTGGAGCCACAGAATCTGCAGTTATTAAAGAAGTAAAAGGGACCTATTTAAATTTCTCAAGATTCTAAATTTTTATTGTACTGGTTAGCTGCCACCAAGGAATATTTTTAGATAAAAACACTTTTCTAAATCAAAATGTATGTGTTTTTATTGTTGCTCATGAATACCAAAAGCAACCTATTCCTGTAATTGGCTTACTTTTATTTTAACATTTGCACATATTTTTGTAATGGACAAATACATTACTGTTTTAAATTATAGTGAAGGTAATGCCACATAATGGTAGTTTTTATTGCCTGTTTCCACCTACAATAAAATACAGTTATGATACCCTAAGGAACAAAGATTCATTAATTTATTCTGTAAATATTTATTGAGCACCTATTATGTGCCTAGTGCTGCTATACATGCTGGGAATATAACAGACAAAAATCCTTGTCCTTACGAACCTTCTATTCAGTTGTTTTGCAATACCAAAAATACAGCTCTGACATGAGTAAATTACCTTCATGTATCCTACTTCATTCAAGAAGAGAAACTGTGAACATTTTGTAGACTATAAATCATTCCTCCAGAGTCAGGTGCAGGACTGATTTCTTAGGGTCCTTGACTCTTGGTAATTCACATTGGCTCTAGTCTCAAGTTTGAGGTTACGCCCTCACAATTTATTATTTATTCCATTGTTTTGCCCAATACAGGATGTTCAGTATTCATCACAACCAGCTGCAACTCCTGTCCTCAAAGGAGTTTAAAATTCAGCATTTTGGGGCCAGTTCTGTGGTTGAACATGCTGTCAGAAAAATTATTATCCTTCTTTTTTTTAAAGTCTGAAGCTCTTCTGCCTTGAATTTGATGGTTTTGTAGAAACAAGTTTTTAATCTTAAGTAGAAATAGGAAAAACAAGTATTATCTATTTTTGTCAAATTCAAGGGGAAAATTTTTATTTCAATATAATCAATAACAATAAACCTCAACCCTTTGGCCAAAAGTAGTAAAATTACAAGCTAAAAAGATGTACTAATGTAACTGAGAATCAGTTGTCCTGTCAGTGAGAAAGGGATTTCCCTGTAGATTGGCTTTGGGGTTAGGACATTCTGCTCCTCTCTTGTACTTGAGAGTCGACTTTGGTTCAGAATGAATAGTTGAGTAGTTGTGACAGAAACTATTGTCCCCAAATCCTAAAATATTTGCTGTCTGGACCTTCAAAAAAATTGCTGACCTCTGATCTAAAGTGTAGTGGAATTACATTCTTTGTGAGTCCCAGAGTAGCTTGCAAATCAAGGTGAGCTGACTAATAATGTGTGTTTTAATGATCCTTCAGTGTATCAAATTTGAATTAATAAAACAAAATCAGCATTTAAACATTAAGAATGTAGGGCTTTCACCTTGTTTTATAAATGAAATACTGATGAGCTAAAGGGTTTTTCATCAGGGATATATTTGTTGTAGTTTTTCCCATAATTTCAATTTTTTAAGAAATAAAAGATAATTGTTACTACTCAGTTTGTATGCTTCTCTTATGCTCTTGTTGTTAAGTAGTTTGAATTAACCTTTTTCTCCCTCAACACAACATGATTATTTTAATAATCTTGATGTGAGAATTTGAAACCCGAGTCGTCCTTGCTGATCTTCTAGGTGGACACCTGCTAGTCTTGGTGGACCAACATGCTGCCCATGAGCGCATCCGATTGGAGCAGCTTATCATTGGTAAGAATCTGCTGAGGACTAGAAAATACTAAGACTCTCCAGTAGAATATACTTGAAAGAATTTTTCTACCTGTGACTATTGTGAAAAAAGATGAACTGTATACTTAAAAAATTAAGCTGAAGTCTGCTGGTATGGCTTCTTTTATAACTGAAAGAATGTTTAAAGTGAATGTAGTTCACTTTACTAATTCAAACTGGTGGGTCTTACGTGGTCAAATGCATATTTGCCACCTGTTTATCATTAACCCTGAGATTTGGCTACTTTGCTATGACACAAAGATCTGCACCTCCATATGCCCATATGATCATGGTAGACCTTCTTCACCATTCATCAGGCAGGGACCCCCAGCAGCTCAGAAGGACCAATATATTGTTTTTGTTTTAAAATTTAATTTGGTTTTGAGTAGGTGATATAATCAAATAGGTTTAAGTCTGAAAGCTACAAAAGGGAATATAATAAAAGTCTCCTTTCTACCCTTGTCCTTCATCCATACTAGTTTCTCTCCCTAGAGGCAGCCTGTATCACTAATTTGGTATGTAGTCTTCCAAAGTCAATATGTGCTTTTTAATCTCTGCTGCTACCTTTTTTCTCATCATGAGGCATTGTGTTCCCCAAGATGTAAAATACCAGGAAAATCTTTACTCCTATAGTCAAGTAATAAAAAACAAAGCAAAACAAAACAAAACAAAGCAAAACAAAACAAAAACCTGAATGTTAAAGAGTTAGGTGAGGACCTAGGGAAGTATTTCATGAATGAGAATGACAATGATGTTACTTCCATGTTCACTTTTCCTTATAAAATGAAGATACAGTAAAAACAGTGTTAGAAAAAAATAATTAATTAATAGGCCCTGGACCATTGGAGAATAGTACTAAGTCTCTTTAGAGACTTGGAAATCCTTCTAAAGGAATGGGGAAGCCTTCTTGAACCTTTGGGTTGTGTAGTAAACCTCTTTTACTTCCCTAGTAAGCCACATTAGTCAACCTGTGTTATTAAAACATTTGTTGACTATCTACAGGAAAATTGCATTATTCATTTGAATGTAAGATTTAAGTCTTACATTTCTTATTTTAGCAAATACTGCTAAAATGAATAAACAAACTAGATATTTACTAGTTTGACTTTAATAATGGAAATTCAAAGCCTAAAACTGAATATTGAATGCACTGCTAAGCACTATAATAATTCCAGGCCTGTGCCTTCCTTCTTACCTGAATCTAGAAGACGTTACTTCCTGTTCTTAACCCATTCATCTTTCTCCCAATAGATTCCTATGAGAAGCAACAGCCACAAGGCTCTGGTCGAAAAAAGTTATTGTCTTCCACTATAAGTCCTCCACTAGAGGTAACAGTGACAGAGGAACAAAGGAGACTCTTACGGTTAGTACCACCACGAGGATGTGATGTTGACGATGCACATCCTCACAGTACTTCTGTGAGGTACAAGCATAACTGCTGTTCCTTTTTTCAGATGAGGCACTGAGACCAAAAGAGGTTACATGACTTGTTCAAGGTCATAACAACTATTAAGCGGTGGAGCAGACACTAAAATGCAGGTTGTCTGAATCCAGATGCTGTTCTTTCCACTGTATCACAGCTGTTGAGTATAGGATAGAGTTTCCCTGATAATTTTTTCCAGCAGTTGGCTTAGAATACTCTTAACACTTCTTGGAACGGTCAGTATTTATGCTGTGCTGTTTCTGAAAGCGAAGTTACTACAGTAATTGTTTCCATTCTGCTCTGCCTTAGTGCACTGTAGGTTCTTAGTTTTCATTACCATAATCGTACTGGGAAGAAAGTAAAACACTGGGCCACAAGGACGGAGCAAATCAAGATAGGACATTTTCCCACTTTGGGGCGGCACAAATAATTGGAAATGAAATAGAGAATTGTCTCTAAATTTGTTTAAGGTTTGGGACTATGCGACTGCCAATATATCTTTTTCCTTGGGGCATAATTTATATTAGAGGCAGATCCATTTATTTACATCCCGTTAATCAGGACTTCTCATTTCCTCAGGCTGTTAATTACTGCTCTGCTTTAATGCTGATTCAAAACATTCTCAGCACTTTTATTTGTGCCAAACTTCTTTAAGTGCCAGCAAGAAGTTAGCAATTCCTCAGTGAAGAGTAAAAATTTAGGAACAGGAAATAGAAATAAATTGATTGTCTCAATGGAAAAGAGAAAAAAAAAGAAGAAGAAGAAAGTTACTGTAATTCAAAAAGGAAATTTGATAGTAAAATCCTAAGTAAACAATCGTAAGTGTGGGAAACCAGTACAACGTTTAAAGCTTTGTGCAGCTTTTGAGAAGTTATCACGTATTTGGAACCAGTACTGAAATGTGAACAAAGTAATTCTTTTACATTTGAGGTTATTTATTTAGGTGTTACCAGAAAAACCTGGAAGATCTGGGCCTTGAAATCATATTTCCAGATGCTAGTGATTCTCTGGTCCTTGTAGGAAAAGTACCACTCTGTTTTGTAGAAAGAGAAGCCAATGAACTTCGAAGAGGAAGATCTACTGTGACCAAGAGCATTGTGGAGGTAAGACGTGGCTGCAGATGCTAAGCAAACTGCTGAGTGCTAGTAAGCGCCCGTATTGTTTAGAAATTCTCTATATTCATATCTTATTCAACAAGCATTTATGAGATACCTGCTGTGTGCCAAGTGCTGGCGATTCAAAGATGAATTAATTAGCTCAAGGTGAGGAAGAAGGATGTTTAATAATTATAATACAGTGAAATTTGGCCAGCAGAGGTATGTTCAAAAGCGCTTTAGAAATACAGAATGTTTACTGTGCCCAGGAGGTTGGAGGTCAAGGAAACTGTCACAGAAAAGCGTTTTTTGCTTGTTTTTAGGAAAAGTCTTGTAGAACAGTAGGAGCCTGCCAAGTACAGAGAGGGGAGAAGGGTATTTTAGACAGAATAACAGATGTCAGAGCCTTGAAGCCGATCCTGTGTTTAAGGAACTGCCAATATATATGGTTCAAATTAAAATATACAAAGGGTGGTGGTGGGCCTAGATGAGGCTAGATAGGTTGTCAAGGCCAACCTATAAAGGGATTTAGTATATTCAGCTAAGCAGTTTGCATTTCATCCCATAGGCAGCCAATGAAGAAGAGTAAAATACATTTTAGCATTACATTTTAAATATTAGAAAACAGGAAAGGAGGAAAGAAAAGGCAACAAAGACAAACTAAATTGTGTTTTTTTTTAATTTTTAAAAAAATTACTCTCCACATCTATTAGAGTATTCTTTATGTCTTTTTTTTCCCTCTGCTGGTTTAGAATTTGAATTTTAGCTTGCATACTTAACACAGTTTAAAGGTAATTCATTTCTTTATTCTCTTCCTAAACTGTGCACAAACCTTACCACCCTTTATCCTCTATCACTCTTCTCCCGTCTTTCATCTTTTGCCTATTTTAATTCCACCTTGTTTTTAATCCTCCTGGTAGTCATTAATTTTATAGTCAGCGTTTATTTAGATCAACCAAAATGTTTTCCAGTCTTTGTTCGCTGTTGCTTCTTGCATCCTTATTCTTTGTGTTCGGTGTTCTCTTTTTTGTTGAAGTAAATCTCTTAAAAGTTCTTACAGTAAGAGTCAATGAATAATAAACTGTCTCTGAAAATATCTTTATTTTGCCTTCACATTTGCATGATTGCCTAGCTAAAAATAGAAATAGAAATCTATATTCTTATTTATGCCTCAAGCATTTCAAAAATATTCCATTACTTTTGACATTCTATTTTTGCTGTTGAAGTCCATTGTCAACCTAATTATCATTACTTTGTAGGTAACCTGATTTTCTCTTGGGTTGCTTTCAAGATTTTCTCTTTGTCTTTTGTATTTTGCAGTTTTCCTGTGATGTATCTTTGTATTTATTTTGATTTCCTTCTTGAGATTCATCTTATTTCTTCAATTTGGAAAATATACAGTTATTATCACTGCAAACATTGCTTCTCCCCCCCCCCAAGGATCTCTTAGAAATCCTGTCAGATCTCTACTGGACCTTGTCTTTCTATCCTCCATGTCTTTTAACTTCTTTTTCATATTTCCCATGGTTTTATCTCTCTGTGATACATTCTAGAAAACTCATTCAACTTACAGTAAACTAAATTTTCCTCTTCTTCTACTATTTAATTAGATGTTTAACTTGTCCACTGGGTTTTTTATTTCAATAACTATATTTTTCCCCAGAATTTTAATTTGGTTCTTTCTCAAATCTATCTGTTAATTTGGTTCTTTCTCAAATCTATCTGTTCTTTTTTTATGGTATCCTATTTTATTCGTTGTGGTTTCTTAACTCCTTTGTTTCTAGTTCTTTCTGTTTGGAGCACAAGCAAATCCACATCAACTTGGCCTACCATTTTTATCCAAAAATCTGAGTTACTTTAGTAATATCTAACAACAAAAAGTAGAAGATACATTTAGTGGATAAATTGTGGGATAGATGGATGTGGGAAAGATTTGAGGTAGGGAGAGTGGTTGAGAGGCTATTGCACTGGTGCAAACAAGGGAGGATGAGGATTTGACTAAGACAGTAGCAATGGGATTAGAGAGGAGGGGCATATTTGAAACATAATTTGGAAGACGGAATCAATAGGATCTGGTGAGTAATAGAATATAAAAGAGATAAAAGAGAAAAGTAAGTAATGATTTGAGGGTTCTTTCTTGGATGACTGGAGGGATGGTGGTGCCATTGACATAAAAAGGAAATAGAGGAGGAAGACTACAGCTGGCTGGGGAGTGAGGTTGTGAGTCTAGGTTTAGACACGCTGAATGTGCCATCAAATGGAGATGTGCAATGGATAGACAGAATTCCAGATCTAGCACTTGGGAAAGAAGTCTGGGCTGTAGTATCTATTTGGAGGTTAACAGTATCCAGTTGACCCTTGAACAGCATGGGGTTAAACTGTGAAGGTCTACTTATATGTGAGTTTTTAAAAATTAATACATACTACAGTACTCAGAATCCATGTTTGGTTGAATTCCAAGATGTAGAACCAAGGATACAGAAGGCTGACTGTAAGGTTGTACCAGGATTTTCTATTGCGTAGGGCGTTGGTGCCCTAACTCCTGCATTGTTCAAGGGTCAACTGTATATATTTTGATAATATCAGAAGCTGGAGAAGGGTCTAAAAGAAGTGAGATTGTCCAGGGAGAATATAAAGAAAAAAAAAGAGCAAAGGGTGGAGTCTGTGGAACACCAGCATTCAGGGTGTATATGTTTCAGCAAAGGTCTGGAAAGCTACTGCTGTAAAGGATGACTGAAAATATTTGGTCAGAGAGGGAGGGGAAGACTGGGAAAAAGTAATATTGCCAAAGCCAAGGGAAGTTTTAAGCAAGAAGGGAACGGTCAACAATGGCTAGAGAGTAAAAGCCTGAAAAGCTGGATTTGGCTGTCATGGGGACGTTGCCTGCCTTGGAATCTATTAGGGGTTGAGGGATGGGGAAGAGGAGACAGAGTGCAGTGGGTCAGGAGAGAAGGGAGAAAGGGGAGCTAGGTAGGCCGCTCTTTCAAGAACTCTAGATGAGCCGATAGCTAAAGGTTAGGGGTCTCGGGAAGTATGGGGCAGGATACAGGTGGAGGAGAGATTTTTGTTTGTTTTCAGATGGGAGAGACTTGAGCATGTTTGTAAGCCAAGCATGAGAAGACATTTGAGAGGAGAGGCAGCTAACGTGCCAGCTTTGGGATCACCTTGACTGTACCCTTCCCAGAATTGCTCTTTGATCAGACCACCTCTGCTTGGCTTTCAGCAGCACTCTTTTCTCCCAGCAGAGCTTATTTTCTCCAAGGCTCCTCCTCCAAATTGTCTTAAATCCAAAAGATAGGATCTGTTAGAATCTTTTATTGTAATTTAATCCTTTAGTATTTAACCAGAAAATTATCATGAAAACTTTCCTAAAGCGACTTCAAAGACTACTAGTAAGAAATTTACCTCAAATTGAAACAAAGCTTAGGGTTTCAGAAAAATCTTGATTATGTTAAGTCAGGCTGATCAGGAGAGATTTTGTTGATTCTGAAGGAAGCTGGAACAGTTCTGGCATCTTGGAGAGGAGGTAGCTACTTGGATCCTAGCAGCTGAAAGGATCCAAATAGCGATCTAATACATCTTTCTATCAAGGTCTATCCTCTAGCCTAATGAATAAGCCTTTTGAAGATTATTTAAATTATCTAGCATTAATTGAACCACCAAATTATGAAATGAATAGAGAAAAAGATCCTTCTCCCCTTCTCCAGACTTACAAGTCCAGATGCATAAATACAAGAGAGAATAGCAAAGAAGTCAGGTTTGATCTGTATCCACAATGAACTTTGTTAGTGGGTCAGGTATTATGAGACATCTTTCTGTTTAGGTTTGTATGGAAAAATATGTAACTTTTAAAAAATATATAGTGTCTACCACCTAGCTCTTGGTAACTGTGCTCATCTATAAGTATGGTGGACTAGTGTGTAAATGAGGAAGGGGAGGGAATTTTCTTCTGAGCCTGGTTTAAAAAGAAATGTACTATGTTGTAATCCTGGAAGCTAATTTATACATAGCCTTTCTAGGAGTAAAGATATCCTGTGCTTTCTTACAAATAAATTATTAAATGTGCCATATCTCAAAACAGTTTTCAACCTCCAGAGGTTAAACAAATTGGTAGCATGACATAGTGTCTGCTTTAAATTTCTTTAAAGTCCTTTTGTAAATATTAACATCTGCAGGGATATAACTATTGAAAAGGTGACCCTCAGGACAGAGATATGCAAAGGAGGAGAAACTTTTCAACAGAATGCCTCAGAACATAAGATTTTTTGACCTGAAGGGAATTGCCATACACACACGCGCGCGCACACACACACACACACGCCTGTGAATTGTCACACAGACACAAAAAAGCCTGCGGGAACTAAGTGACTGTTTATGTTTATGATATTTAAGCAAGTGTTGAGCTGAGTGCAGTCATGTTGATGACTGGTGTATATTTATTCTGTTTATGCGCTGTATTACATGTGTTCCGGCCAAGATTATAAATACAAACAGACAGCCTCTTACTGAGAAGCCTCCCTGAAATTTAGTTGAGTCATTACGGCTACCAGTTACATAACCTCATGAGTTGGTGTGCTATCTCTGGAAGAAGCTTCAGTAGCTAAATATATTCTCTGTTCAGTAAGTTTTTTCAGTTGTCTTGCTATTTCATATTCAGAATGCCTTACAACAAATAAATTATTTACACCTAAGTGCTATAATGCTGGAACCCTCTTCTTCAAGAGACATATTTTAAAGAAGAAAATTGGGATGTTTTGTAAACTATCAAAGGGCAGTTATAACATAATAGTAGAGTAACAGCTGTTCTCCTTTTCTCTTTGTAGGAATTTATTCGAGAACAAGTGGAGGTAGGCTTTTCTCTTATTTTGGGGTTTCATACAGAGGCACCACACACACAAGGCTCCATTGTCCCATTTGCTTTTCCATTAATAAAGAATGTGTTTTTGCATCAGCTACTCCAGACCACAGGAGGCATCCAAAGGACTTTGCCACTAACTGTCCAGAAGGTGTTGGCCTCCCAAGCCTGCCATGGTAAGACTCTCAGCACACCAGCTCCTGAGTGCCTCTGCTTGCGAAGCACTGGCAGGTACCCAGTTATGAAAGGAGTGGAAGGCACATTTACCACCCACCTCTTAGAGGGTACAATTTAGATCAAGAAACTGAGTACACTAAAAAGGAACACTAAAAAATTGCTTTTACAAAGCAAAATAGCAACATGTGTATTGACCATAATGCAGACTGACTTATTTGAGTGGGAGTAGCTCCTAGAGGAGATGCATTTGAGTCAAGTTTTGAATGAGCTGAGGGACATGGATTCATGGGATGGAAGGGAAAGTTTACTACAGGGAGAGGAAATATACTGTGCAGAGATCCAGAGGCAGAAACAAATTAGTTATATGAGGAGCAGCAGAAAATATCAAGAATGAGGCTGGTAAGAAAGCATAGAAGGCTGCAAGGTCACAACAAAACCTTTAGATTTCATACAGAAGGCAAGAATCATTGGGGGGTAATACGATAAAATATAGAAAAGGGTATTGGAGGACTTTAGGGATCATGACAGCTACTGAATACCCTGCAACAATCATACGACCATGGTGGGGTCTCCACTCCAGACCCTTCCTCCATTTGATCTCCCCATAATCTCTCTCTTCACTTGCTGTCTTTTCTGGCTTTGTAACCTCTGTCCCTCATTCATTTGTTTCCTGCAAATATGTAAACTCCTTCACCCCTTTATCCTATCTTTATTCCTCATGTCTGCTCTTATCACCAGATCTCATCACCTCTACCTTCATAATGCATCTTAAATGTCTGTGATGTGACCTGTTTCCACTGCCACCTCCCTAGTTCTTGCCACTGTTGAGTCCTCATACTTTGTCTTCCTACATCTATCCTGGCTCCCCTTCAAGCCATTCTTCCCTTAGCACCCAGAGGAATCTTTTTTTTTTAATTGAAGTATAGTCAGTTACAATGTGTCGATTTCTGGTGTACAGCACAATGTCCCAGTCATGCATATACCTACATGTATTTTTTTTCATATTCTTTTTCATTAAAGGTTATTACAAGATATTGAATATAGTACTCTGTGCTATACAGAAAAGATTTTTAAATCTATTTTTATATATAATGGCTAACATTTGCAAATCTCAAACTCCCAAATTTATCCCTTCCCACCCTCTTTCCCCTGGTAACCATAAGATTGTTCACTGTGTCTGCAAGTCTGTTTCTATTTTGTAGATGATTTCATTAGTGTCCAGAGGAATCTTTTTGAAATATTCCTCTGAGCACATCATTCTCCTAGCAAAAACATGTCCGTGACTACCTACTGTTCTTAGGATAAACATTTTATTCTTTACCGTGTCCTCCAGGGGTCTGCATGGTCTGGCCTCAGCCTGCCTCTCCAGTCTCTTCTCACATCACCCTCCACCTTGCCCTTCACATTCCACATGCTTCCTGGTCTTAGTCTTGTGTGCTGAATTCTCCATTTGCCCTTTTCCTCTTTCTGAAACGCCTCTCTGCTCATTCTTCAACTAGCCATGTGTTTCTTAACCTAAGAACTCAGATTAAATATCATTTTCTTTCCTAATTAAAAAAAAAAATATATATATATATATAATCTTGCCAGGAAAGCCTTTCTCCTAAACTGGGTTTGGTCTTCCTGTTTTATATTATTTGACATTCTATATTTTATAGTACTTATATTTATAATTTAAATTCTTGTGTAATTATTTGCTTACTGTTTGTCTCACCTGTTAGACTGTAAGCTCCATGACGGTAGAGATCATCCATCTCATTCACTGCCTGGCATAGCTCCAGCACAGAGTACATACTTAATAAATATATGTCGATTGTGTGAATTAATGTATGCGTAAAGGTAGGTTCTGACAATATGGGACTTACGAGTAGGAAGATTATGATAGAAACAGAAAAGAGAAGCAAATAAAATGGACATTGTTGGGGGAGGGTATAGCTCAGTGACAGAGTACATGCTTAGCATGCACAAGGTCCTGGGATCAATCCCCAGTGCCTCCATTTGAAAAGAAAAATTAAAAATAAATAAATAAACCTAATTGCCCCCCCCCAAAAAATGGACATTGTAAGGAAACAGAAATCTTGGTGATAGATTGGCCCTGGATGAAAGGTGACTTCGATTTCACTGTAAGAAGTAGGCAAAAGTATTACTCTTGCCTCTTTGAAAAAAACTCTGAAGTCAAAATCCTAACAAGTTAAGGAATGCCTGCTACAGGGATTAGGAAGACAACGACTCCATAAGGAAAAGCTGAGAGACAGGTCAGTCCTGAAGCCTTAGTTTCATCTGTGGATGTAAGTGCCAGTTTCAAGCAGTATTAAACATGAAAGAAGCCTAAGAACCATCTTGCTCTTCCCAGATATTCGGCTCTGACCCAGGGTCAGCACTGGTTTCCTGCCATACCACACCATACCTGTTGTTCCTGTCTTTCATTTAGGGGCCATTAAGTTTAATGATGTCCTGAGCCTAGAGGATAGCTGTCGCCTCATTGAAGCTCTGTCCTGCTGCCAGCTGCCGTTCCAGTGTGCTCATGGCAGGCCCTCCATGCTGCCATTAGCTGACATTGACCACTTGGAGCAGGAAATCCAGGTACAGTAATGACTCACAGGAGACTAGCTCCTGTTATCCAAATGTAATTTGTCTTAATCCTTTCTCAAATATAAGAGTTTTGAAAAATAAGCACTGGAGGCTTTATATAAAGTCTCACCATTTCATCTTCTAGCTCAAATTCAAAATGGATTTTAGGCTGAACTGTTAGATTATACACATGATGACTGTATTTTTCAAGCTTCACACATGTACAGACTGACGTATCCTGAACATCTGCTGCCTACTGGCTTTAGGTTTGATGAGACGCAGAAGTTCTCTCTGGGGCTACAAGTCAGTAGAAACACAGCGATGACCTTCTGGCAATTGTAGCCTAAACAGCCAGTTGCTTGACAGTACTTGCTGGAAATGGTAGCCATCTCCAAGCATCTCTAGAGTAATGATTTGAGGATCATTGGGCAGGGAACCAAGTTTAGGAGATTTTCACATTATGCTTTGGCCCTGATTACTCAGCAGTCCAGGAACAATGATGTGGATAATGCAATAAAGGCACTGAGTGGTTTAAATTAAAAAACATGTTCTATCCTTGTTATAAACTTAAATGAAATAGAACATGAGAACATAATAGGAATGTCTATGTTGCCGCTTTCCAAAATCTTTTCTTTTGCTTAACTCTCCTGCCAAGGGCTATAAAGTCTTTTCTTGCATGGCGTTTTCAGGTACTAATGTTTGCTGACTCAGCTAGTAGATTCTGCTCCATTAGGAACTTTTTTGGGGGAGGGTATAGCTCAGGTGTAGAGTGCTTGCCTAGCACGCACAAGGTCCTGGGTTCAATTCCTACTACCTACATTAAATAAATAAATAAATAAACCAGTTACCTCCCCATCTAAAAAAATTGGATTAAATTAAAAGAAAAAAAGAACTTTTTGTTTCATACGACAATGAAAAAAGTTTTGTCCCCATTCCTGAAGAGATGGGCCTCTAGACTTAGAGTTTTCAGTCCCATTTATCCTAAAGAAAATCTGTAATCTTTTCTGAGTCCAGAAATTAGAAATCAAAACTGATTTGAATAGCCATTATTAGGAAATACTTAAATTCTGCTTGGCTTTTCATACTGCTAAAAGGAGTTATTCTCATTCTTCCCATAGGTTAAACCCAATCTTGCTAAACTTCGCAGAATGGCCCAAGCGTGGCAGCTCTTTAGAAAAAAAGAAGGATGTGATACAAAGCAAAGCCTACAGACATCCATGCCTCCTTGTGAGCCCTCGTGAGAACAGAATTATTGTCTCTAAGGAACCAAAAGGATGCTGACTGTAGGCCTCTAAGTGGAAAGGTGAACAGCAGGCACCGGCAGTCTTGACTGAATGGTTCCAGTGCACCTGCTTAGCATATCTGTCTTCCTTGAGCAGATTGACTTCCTCCAGTCAGGTACCCAGATGGAATTCAAGCCTAAAGACAGTTCATTCACTGGCACCCGTGCACACAAGAAGTTGCCCTATAATACCTATTTTTGTAACTTATTTAAGGATAAAATTTAATGATTAATTGTCTGATTGGTTGGTTGGTTTGTGGGATTTTGGGGGGATGGGATGGGAATTTTTTTGGTTTTGTTTTGAAGTTTTTTTCCAGCCTCATAATTTGCACTGATGTGATTTACCTGATGCTGAACTCCCAGAGATCAAGTCTGCCTTCTTAGACACCCCCACATCCGTGATCGGTCGGCCCCTCCCGTCCCTCCAGCCTCCTTCACCTCACTTTGCTGCTGCTTTACATTCTGCATCTCAGACATTGAGTTTCTGTGCACTCTTTAAAAATGTTCCCTGCATCTTCCACCTGGCCTGCAGTTAGATTATTTTAGGGATAACAACTAATGATAAAGAGAAGCAATGACAGGAATGGGATAGAGAAAATTTAATCCTGTTCCTGTTTTTTTGTGTTTTATTGCCGCCTTAAAAACTCTTGAGGATGCCTTCGTAGCAATGGATTTGGAGGAAGGTTGTGGGAGAAGGGAAGCCAGCAAAGCAAGCATTACCTCAGGCACTCGGGTAGTCTAATCGGGGTCACTAATAAAATTAGATTTGGATTAAAAAAAAAAACTCTTCACACAGGCACAAGTGTACAAGAGGCAGCGGCTGGAGCTGGTGTCCCAGGTGGGCGTGGGCCCTGCAGCTCCAAAACCTCCGCCTGCCTGCGCGGGAGCTGTCAGCTCTATACTGCTCTGTCACAAGCTTGTTGATCATGTGAAAATTCTAGAAAAGGGCCCCTTGACAAGACATCTAAAAACGCTGGAACTGGATTGGTGGTGGCTCCAGCATGTGGATGTAATGAAATTACAGATTCAAGTGGATGAAAGGGGAAGACCGTGGATACCAGGTTTAAAAGATTTGGCTGTGGTTCTGCAATGGCCTCCAGGTGGTTAGCCATTGAATAGGTTAAAGGGAAAATGGTAGTGGAAGCCTTGACATCAAAACCCATACAGTAAAATGACTATACTTCAATAAACAAACAAACAAACAAACAAAACTGGATATAGCCAAGGAACTCTGCCTTCCTCCTGTGCCTGCACTGTTCCCTGCTGGCTAAAGGTGCAGTCAAGGCTTCCCTGGCTGATTACACATGGAAACAAGAACCCAAGAAAGCAGAAGTGAAGAAGAAAGGAACCCTTGGCCAAGCCTCAGTCCGGTAGGTCCTATCAGCTGTTTGCTCCCCCTCCCCCCATGGTAAAAGAACTAGAGATACACACCACATTTGTTGTTCACCTTGTGGCTCTAATGCAAGCACAATACAGTTTAATTGTTCTGAATCCTGTGGTTTCTTTCAGCCCACTTTTATCACCTTAAGCCAGTTCATGTATATTTTAAATTGTGTGTATGACCTCAAAACTGAAATCAGTAATGAAATCTCAAGTTTTTGGTAGTCCATGAAATGCACAAATATCTAATTTCACCTGAATTTGTTTTGGGGAAGATTACCAATAGAGTGTATGATTATTTGATAGAAACAATCATTGTACATAAAACATACTTGCATATGTATAGTAAATAAAAGAATGTAAGAAAAAAATAAAACCCCCTCTTTCAGAGACTGATATTGTTCATATCCCAAACCAGTAATATGGTGAAAGTACTATGAGCTTGTTTTATAAAATTTTTTTAAATTGAAGTTGATTTACAATGTGTTAGTTTCTGGTGTACAGCATAGTGATTCATTTATATATATATATATATATACATATATATATATATATTCTTTTTCAGATTCTTTTTCATTATAAGTTATTACAAGATGTTGAATGTAGTTTCTTATGCTATTCAGTAGGACCTTGTAGTTTATCCATTCTGTATGTAGTAGTTTGTATCTGCTAATCCCAAACTCCTAATTTATCCCTCCCCTCCTTCCCATTGTTGAATTTGTTTTCTATGTCTGTGAGTCTCTTTCTGTTTTGTAAATAAGTTCATTTGTATCATTTTTTTAAGATTCCACATGTAAGTGATATCATATGATATCTGCCTTTCTCTGGCTGATTTACTTCACTTAGTATGATAATAAAAATTTTTTTGTACTTAAAAAGTATCTCTCTTAAAAAGGAAGCCTCCTGAACTGTTGGTGGGAATGTAAATTGGTGCAACCACTATGGAGGACAGTATGGAGGTTGCTTAAAAAACTAAAAATAGACTTCCCATGTGACCCAGCAATCCCATTCCTGGGTTATATCTGGAAAAAAATATAATTCCAAAAGACACATGCACCCCAATGTTCATAGCAGCACTATTTACAATAGCCAAAATATGGAAACAACCTAAATGTCCATTGACAGATGAATGGATAAAGATGTGGTATACATATATAATGGAATATTACTCGGCCAAAAAAAGAGTGAAATAATGCCATTTGCAGCAACATGGATGGACCTAGAGATTATCATATTAAGTGAAGTAAGTCAGAGAAAGACAAGTATCATATGATATTACTTATATGTGGAATCTAAAAAACGATACAAGTTTTATTTACATACCAAAAATAGACTAGTGGACATAGAAAATAAACTATGGTTACCCAAAGGGAAAACAGTTACATACTATTATATATAAAATAGATAAAACAAAAACGACCTACTGTATAGCACAGGGAATTATATTCAATTTCTTGTAATAAGCTATAATGGAAAAGAATATGAAAAAAATACATATGTATGTGTATGTATAGTTGAACCACCAATTTGCCATACACCTGAAACTAACATTGTAAATCAAGTACACTTCCAATAAAAAAATTTGTTAAGTATCTCTCTTTATATGAAAGCAATTTTCATATCAAAAGGCAGCATTTATTCTTTCAATCTAATCAGGTATGTTCTTTGCATTTTTTAGGAGACAAGTGTTATTTGGTCCCTTTCAAATTATATCTTGTTTTTAGTACAGTATGCCTATCTAATGGCCTCATAATTTCATTTGGGACCAGGACTGATCTTTCTGCAAGTGCTTGTTATACCACTCTTAATATGTATCCCTCCCACCTTTTCAGATGACTTGATTTCTGGTTAATTGGCCTCAATAGACGAAAGCCCTACAAAAGAAAAATAAAAGCAAAAAAAAACAGCTGGTAATGTTTATTGCAACTGGGATGTCATACAATGAGAAAGATGTTGCAATGAGAATTTCCACTTTTGTATTTTCCGACCAGCCTGCTCACGCTGGCCTTTGCATCAGATGGAATGATTTTCTTCGTTTTTTAATACAGGAAACAAATTTGTGCTGTGGGAGAAAAAGTTTGTTTGCCAGCAGCCCTGAAGTGAATCTTACAGGAGCAATGAAGTAGTACATTCACTAGCATGTGCCTCACAGAAGGTTCAGGGAAAGCCTTCGTCAGTTTTCAAGGGGATCCTTGTAGAATTACGTAATAGGAGCCCTGAAGAATAGGCACCACTGTCTAAAAGTGGCCTTTATTCTCCTAAATACGTATAAATGGTTTCATAAACTGGAAGATATGACCTTAAAAAGGAAGGTGTTTTCAGGGACTCTGCCTCCAGGCCCAGTGTGGTGCCGTGGCCTCTGGACCTCTGCCTCCACTCTCCAGAGCTACATAGAGGCCAGCTGTCCTGAGAGTTTTACAAATCTTTTTAGGTCAGACCAATTTGGGGGATTTTAAAAAAGTGTTACCTAATAATGAAGTATCAGAAAAGGAAAGTTAAAAAACAATCCCTTAAAGTTGCATCAAAAAAAAAAACTTAGGACCTGACCAAGGAGGTAAAAGATTTATTTGCTGAGAATTGTAAAACTTTGATAAAGGAAATTAAAGATGATTTAAAGAAATGGGAAGATATCCCATGATCTTGAACTGGAAGAAGTAATATTGTTAAAATGGCCATACTACCCAAAGCAATCTACAGATTTAACGTGATCCATATCAAATTACCCAGGACATTTTTTCACAGAACTAGAACAAATAATCCTAAAACCTAAATGGAATCACAAAAGACTCAGAATTGCCAAAGCAATACTGAAGAAAAAACTAAGCTGGAGACATAACCCTCCCAGGCTTTAGACGATACTACAAAAAGCTACAGTAATCAAAACAGCATAATATTGGCACAAAAACAGACATATGGATCAACAGAACAGAATAGACAGCCCAGAAATAAATCCACACACCTACGGTCAATTAATCTTTGACAAAGGAGCCAAGAATATACAATGGAGAAGACGGTCTCTTCAGCAAGTGGTGTTGGGAAAGCTGGACAGCCGCATGTAAATCAATGAAGTTGGAACACTCCCTCACACAGTACATAAAAATAAACTCAAAATGGCTTAAAGACTTAAACATAAGGAAGGACACCATAAATCTCCCAGAAGAGAACATAGGCAAAACATTCTCTGACATAAATTGTAGCAGTGTCTTCCTAGGTCAGTCTACCCAGGCAATAGAAATAAAAGCAAAAATAAACAAATGGGACCTAATTAAACTTACAAGCTTTTGCACAGCAAAGGAAACCATAATTAAAGCAAAAAAGACAACCTACGGACTGGGAGAAAATATTTGCAAATGACATGACTGACAAAGACTTAACTTGCAGAATATACAAATAGCTCATACAAGTCAATAACAAAAAAAAACAAACAACCTAATCAAAAAATGGGCAGACATTTCTCCACTGAAGACATACAGGTCAGTAGGCACATGAAAAGATGCTCAATATCACTAATTATCAGAGAAATGCAAATCAAAACTACAAAGATATATCACCTCACACCAGTTAGAATGGCCATCATTAAAAAAATCTACAAATAATAAATGCTAGAGAGGATGCGGAGAAAAGGGAACATTCCTACACTGGCGGTGGGAATGTAATTTGGTGCAGCCACTATGGAAAACAGTATGGAGATTCCTTAAAGAAAAGTAGAGTTACCATATGGTGATCCAGCAATCCCACTCCTGTATCTTGGAGGAAACTCCAGTTCAAAAAGATACCTGCACCCCAATGTTCATAGCAGCACTATTTACAATAGCCAAGACATGGAAACAACCTAAATGTCTATCAACAGATGACTGGATAAAGAAGTTGTGGTTTATTTATACAATGGAATACTACTCGACCATAAAAAATAATCAGATAATGCCATTTGCAGCAACATGGATGGACCTAGAGATTATCATATTAAATGAAGTAAGTCAGACAGAAAAAGACATCATATGGTATCACTTATATGGGGAATCCAAAAAAATGACACAAATGAACTTATTTACAAAACAGAAAGAGGCTCAGACATAGAAAATAAACTTATGGTTGCCAAAGAGGAAAAGGGTGGGGGAGGGATAAATTAGGAGTTTGGGATTAGCAGATACAAACTACTATGTACAGGATAGATAAACTACAAGGACCTACTGTATAGCACAGGGAACCATATTCAATATCTCGTAACAACCTATAATGAAAAAGAATAACACAATATTATAAATCAACTATACTTCAATTTAAAAAAAAGTGTTATGATACCTCTTCTATTAAGATGATGGGGTGTGATTTCACAAGGTTTTGCTATAATCCCAAACCCCTGTGTCTCAGAGCAGAGGATTAGGAAAAGTTCTTCAAAAATCGTGTAACCAATCTTCCTGGCCATCCTGATTTTAGCAATGCAAGATAGAATTATCCTATCTTCCCCACCCACCCTGAGAATTATCCTATCTTAATAATTTATAAACTCAGTAGCATGCATCAGCCTAAAACCAACCAGTTAGCCACAAATATCTAACATTACTTTTATTACCTGTTAGGATTTTGTTTTGTTCTGTTTTGTTTTTTAACTCAGGTGCCATAAGAGAAAAGACAGATTTAGTTTTTCAACACTTGATGGTAATCATTAACACTTATGTGGTGTTTTAAAGTTTACAAATAATTTTTCCTACCATATTTGAATTTCTTGGCAACCCATGAGGAGATATTCTTATATATTTTCCCTGTTTTACAAAGTGGGAAACTAAGGCTGAAAAATATTAAGAGACTTGTCTAAGATCACACAGCTATGAAGTAAAGCAGAGAGTGGTATCCAAGTTTTCTGGCTGCAAGAACAAGAATAATAATTACCATTTATTGAGGGCATTATACATCAAATGCTTTGTATATACATTATTTCTAAGCCTTACAACAGTTCTCTTAGGAAGCTAGTAGCTCTCTTGCAATGAGACTACTAAGCCTCAGAGATGTTAACTGGTTTGCTAAGAGCCAGAATTCAGACCCAGGCCTGTGTGACTTCACATTGCACCCTCCTTCCCGTTACTACCCTACACTGCTGTATATATTTTTAATTTATTACAGATTTACCCATTTGTAAACTCAGTTGCTTAACTTTCTTTGATTCTGGTTGGTAGAGGCTTCGTTAACTTCAGAGTGTAACTTGAGAGATGAGATGTGCAATGAAGCCATTCTTGAGAATTCCTTTAACAGTAACATTTCTCAGAACTTTATTGAGAAATAAAGGTGCATACCTTCAAAGAGCTTAGCTTCAGTTGGGGAGAGATATAAGGAAACTGATGATAGATTCTGGTAACTTCCTCTAGGTTAGAGATCATTGAGTTACAGCTAAGTCTTTATTACTGAAATAAAAGAAGGTAATTCTACTATCAGAATTAAGACTATAGATGCAATAGGAGCTAGGATCAGAAAAGCTTAAGGCAAAACAGAGTGTAGGCCAGAAGGAAAGGAGAGGCCGGGGAGGGGACTAGGGCAAGGTCCAGGTCCTAGCCGTGGATCTGGTACTCCATGAGTAGCTGAGAATGGAGAGGGTCTAGCAATCAGACATCAGAGCAAGGCAGAAGTCAGACAGAAGTGAACAGCTGGGATCTGGGCCTAACAGTGAAAAGAACAAGGCATCGAAAACAAGCAGAGTAGGAGAGGGCCTGAGGCCAATATGTAGGGGCTGAGGGAGCCAAGTCAAGTGAGAACAGACAGCCTATCAGTCCCCAGACAGCAATGACAACCAGGCTCAGCCGAAGCTTCAGGTGGGAGCCAGTGACTGCACACCTGAAAGGAGGGAGGGGCAGTTTCCGGCACAAAGAACCTGACTCTCTTGCCCTGTTTTCCACTGAAGTGCACCTCATTCCTTCAAAACCCTTTCCAAAAGCTGGCTACCAATGAGAACTGACTGGTGTGTGTGCCACTGAATACCGTGCCTATTTTCACCCCTTCACCGCCGAAGTGGCTCCTCAACAGTGAGATGGCAAAAAGGTGGGCTCAGAAGACAAAAGAAGGAGGCCTGGGAAACCAAAAATCTGGATAATCTGCACCAAATAAACCCTTCCTTCCTTCTATGCCTCCATTTATTCATTTATTATCACTCAGTAACACTGAGTGAGTCCTTTCTAAACGTATTGCAGCAGAAATTGTAGGAGGATGTAAAGAAAAAAGAAGTTATCCTGTGGCTTAGGATTTTTCAAGCCCTTGGATCATTTTCACCCCATGCCCATGTGTCACAGAGCACTCAGTATTACCCAGACACACACGATAAAGTTCAGGCAACTCGATCAAAGCCTGTGGGAATCTGAGTGTCTTACACGTTGGAATCTATCGAGCCACTAAGCTACCACGACTCAAGTAGTGGTGTGAAGAAGCAAGATTCGGCCGGATTTTATCTGTACAACTTGCCTGACTAAACAACTTGCTCTTATTTACTTCAAAAGCAAGGTGCGTCCAATCATGCTTTAAAAAAAAGTTTTTAATGTAGTTTAGAGTTAGCTACTGCTATTAGCTATTAGTTTATCATTACTTAAGTACTTCATCACCTCTCTTTTATGGTAGTTAATTGTAGAATTTTACATATAAATTATGGATCTTGGGAATCTCATCAAGTTTTTAAGTAGCTTCCTTCTCGAGGCAGGCCTTAATTCTAAATGTCACTAGTCTTGCCTGTAAAAACACCACTGAAAGGCTCCTCCTCCTAAGCACAGTATTTAATATAAACATCAGGCGAGCAGTTCAAGTGTGGTTAGGCTTCAAGGCAGCCCTCCGTTACGCGTTAAGACTGAAAGCTTAGATTATAGCTCTTTATTAATGGTAATTGGTTAGCCATTGCACAGCTGTTTGATGGATGAAAGAATAATTCAAAGCAAAGTAGGCCAGATATAAAAACACTTCCAAATCACATTTCAAAATACCTCCTTTGTGTTAACTAGGTGTGTGTCTGCAGAGGGAGTTTTTGGGAGAACAGGTGGAAGGTATGTGGTCTTTACAGTAATCACATCACCATCTGGTACTATCTTACAGCAAAACAGTTCTGATGTACTGAGTTCTACGTATGTGGTGTTACAGAGTCATGGCGCTCCACGGTGGAACGGTGTGACAGGCAGCCTTCATTTTTTTTTTTTAAGAAAGAAATGGAAAATTTTATTCAAGCCAAATTTGAGGATTATAACACAGGAAGAGCATTTCAGAAAGCTCTGAGAACTGTTCCACCAGTTAGGAATCAAGACAATTACATGACACAGCTATAGGACACAAAGGGCCGTTCATCAAATGATGTATAATTGACAGTTTACATAATCCAGATCTAAGCATCATCCTGGCAGGTCATGTGACCCCTTACAAGATCAAGAAGGAATGTTATCTTTTAAAGAGTTGTCTTGCTGATGTTAGGAGAATGTTGCTCTTGTTGAGCAGGTGTCCTTGCTGATGGGGGAGTAGGTTTTGAAGCACATCTGTGAAACTTGTGATCTTAGGAGTACCAGGACTTCTTTCTCTGAGGTATCACTTTACACTTAAGTTTTTCTTGGTAGACTATTTTTCAGAGACTTCTCTTATGAGGCTAAATTAGGAATTCCTGTTCCTTATTTGAGTTCCAAGAACTGTGCCTTTCCTGCCCTCCGTCCAAACTCAAAGATATAAACCGTGGGAAAAAGTGTCTTTACAAACTGTATTGAGTAAGTGATCTAACTTGGTTTATTTAGCATATTCAGCAAGACTTTCATATCCATGGAATCCTCTTTTAATTCTCTCCAAGCTACAACAGTTTTTTTAATGAGCTTCTGGGTTCTCCTGCAAAGGCAGGGGTGGGAGGCAACCCAAAGGCTGATAGGTAGTAAATTGACACAAACTCCTCAGCTTCTCCCTGATCAGATCAGGTTCTTCCTTTCCAATATTTACTCCTCCTCAAATAGGAAAAGGGAGAGAGGGAAATAGAAAAACGAGGCATATAAATAGAAAAACTAGGCATTTGTGGGATTTACTTGATTGAGGTCCTAAAGATTCTAAAGAATATGCATTTGTGCAGTTCTGTTTTAGACACTGTGAGTTGACCAGAGAAAGAGCCTCTGCTCTCGTAACCTTCGTCCATCTCAGTTAAGCCTGGGAAGGATGTTGATACTAATTTTAAACCCAGAGACTAAAATGCACAAAGGACAAGTATCATAAAGCATTTCTGGAGACAGAAACAGATTTAAGATCCTGGACTCACTGCTGCTCTTACTCCAGACCACGACTGTACCCAAGTGAACTGCTGTTAGAATTGGTGCCTTCAGAGGAGGAAACTCTCGAAATTGGTAGCTTAAGCCACTTAAGAAGGCTTGCGGTCTTGGATGCCTTAAGAAATAATTGACAGATGGAGACCTGAGTGAGTCAGGCTCTTCTTGAGTCAGAGTTTTTAGGTCAGTCTTATTCCCCACCCTCTACCCCCGCCCCGCTGCCCCGATCAGGGAAGGCAAGAGTCTTCAGCAAAGATCTGTCCATGTCATGTACGTATCAGAGAATAGAGGCCTTTCCCTCATAACCCAGCTCTGGCCAGTGCTTACCAAAACATATTTGGTAAAAACAGTTTACCAAATCACCTGTTAAAATCCCTTTGGATGCTTGTTAAACGTGCAGATTCCTACTGCTTCCTCCCACTACCTCAGAGACACAGGTGCAGGAGGCAGCCAACTTTGCGATGACATCCCAGAGGATTCCCCTACACACTTGGGTCCGCCTTGGACATCTGCTTTGGACCAAACTTCCCAAACATGCCAGATCATCTGGACTACCTGGGGAGACTTTTTGAAAACATAATTACTAAAGTAGTACCCATTGTAAAAAATGGAAACAATATACAAACACACTAAATAAAATTAGAAGTCCTCCTGCTTGCCACTGTTTGGTGGTGTTCTTCCACTTTTATCCTATGCATGCACATATTTTGTTTGGTTTTAATGAAGTAAGGGTCATATCATGCATATTGTTCTGCAGCTTGGTTTTTGGTTAAGAAAATATAAAGTAGACTTGCTTACAACCCTATCCGTTCATTAACACAAGGGGCACAACTCAGATGCCTACAAGGGTTAGGCAGACAACATAAATGAGTTCCATGGACCTCAGCAGAACTGAAGAAAACTGGAGGTTTTCCACATAATGGAATTAAAAGCTATCCAACTAGAGCCAACTGCTGCCATTTGGGAATGTGGGCTCAGAGTCACCAAATTTTCCAAGTTTTCAAGAGAAGCAAGAAATGTGATTTTGTTTAATGTGCAATCTCCAGATTTTTAAATGTTGGTAACTAATTCAAATTAAATACTAGATGAACCAGCCAAAATGTCTTCAATCCAGACACACTGCCCTCAAGCCACCTTTGGAAACCTCTGTTGCAGTGTATACATAATGTTCCACCATACATCATACTTATTTAAAACCTTTTCTAGTCTTTAACAGAACACAAAACGCTATGTTGCTGGACACTTAGGCTGTGACATTACAGCTGCTACAGTGGACATTCTTGTCTGTGTCTTCATGTGCTTGGAAAAATACTTCTAGAAGTGCAAGTTCAAAACTGCCCTGGAAAAGGCTGCATGAATTTACAATCCTATTCACAGTACATGAGTGGGTTCTTTTCTGGGGTGCTTTAAACAGATTCTGAGGTGCCTTCCCAGAGATTAGATGCTGTAGGTCTGGGATGGAGCCCAAGACAGTATTTTTTTAAGCTCCCAGATGATTTGGATGATCAGTGATTTTGGAAGCACTGTCTTAGATTATTAATAAGTTGTTTGGGACCACTTCCAGTGAATTAGAAAGGAAACTGTAAATACTTTCATCTGCATTTTTGTCTTCGGCTGTTACCTCTAATTACTGCCCTCCATGAAAACACCAAAGGACTCTGCTGCTGCCATTTCAGGCAGTTCAGTCAGAGCAGAACAATAAACAAACTAACCCAGGAACCTTCGAGCAGCTTTTATTGGCACAGCTTCGGAAAAGGTGCGGTAGTCATTTCTGAGCAAAAACAGGTCTTCAGTGGTATGTTGAACACACCACTGAACCAGAAAATTTAAGTTCCTGAAACAGACACCCATAATGACTAAGAGGCCCCAAAACAACAGATCAAGCACTGATGCTCTGTTAAGACCCAAAAAGCAAAAAACATTCCCGGATGTGCATCCTTGTTATGGGAGGACTCAAGTGGCAGTAAACAGTTTCAGGTTTTCATGGGCTAACTCCAGTTCACGTCCCCATTACAAAGAAGATGCGTTTCGGCCATAGCACTGAAGTCTTCTCTCCATTCTGTTTGCCTAAGCAGCTCCTGCTTAGGATGGGTGGTGGTCATAGGACATGATCGTCAGGATGGTAGAGTTCGCTCATCAGGCGGTATATGTAGGAAGGTGCATTCCCACCGATGTTGGAGATAAAGAGGGTAATGAGCTCTGGGGGGACGTAGTCAAACACAGGGCAATGAACACTGACCTTCTCCAAAATGTCCCCTGAAAGGCAATCACATGAGCTAAAGATAAACCGAGGACTCTGCTCCATAATAAGTATCATATAGATTCTAGGCTCAGTAATGCAGGGATACTCACTACCCTAAGGCAGGGTAGGTGCAGCGAAATGCAAACCAGAAGAGATGACTTCAGACCATGATATGTCCTATGCTTATAATGCTCCAATTTTATTCTAAGGGCCTTTCCACTGCCCTTAGAATAAAATTCAAATTTGGGATTGCAACCATCAAGATCTGGCCCCTCCCCACCGCCCTACACTAATTGTAACTCGTACCACTCTCCTGCTTGCACACTGCTCTCCAGCCACATGGCCATCTTTGTGCAACTGGTTAAGCATGTACCTAACTCAGGCCCTTTGTACCAATGCCTGGAAAATTCTATCTTCACATGGCAGGCTCCATTCCTAAAGGACTCAGCTGAAACATCATCTCATTAAGATCCTTCCCCAGTCCACAGTAGCCCCCTAGTCACTTTCCATCACATCATCCATATTCATTTTCTTCCTAAAACATCCCATGACCTGACATATTCTGGTCTATCTTTTGCAACATAAAGTAAATTCTGGGGGAGCAGGGCCTGTCTATGTTGTTCACTGTTACATCCCTAGTGCCTAGAATAGTGCTGGACTCACAGTGGGTGCTCAATAGTCATAAACATTTCTTGAAAAGAATGAATGTTTGAATAAATGGCGAAGTTACTCAATTTCCAAGAAGAATCAGCACCCGGAGTACTGCTCCCAGAGGGTGTTGAAGACCATACCAACTGTTGAAGAGGCAGCAGGCTCACTGAACAAAGCTGCTGCCTTTGGAAGTCAGAGAAAAGGACCCCAACACACAAAAGGATACAGACAAGTTTCATGAGTAAGAATATTTCAGAGCCTGCTTAAATGACTCCCTGCAACAACTGAAAACAAGTACGTTTTCCCACTGAGTCATTGCCTGTGTCTCAAACAACCTGCAAAGTCAAATCCAGTCAATGCAGCTAAAATATATTAGTCTCATAAGAAAGTGAACATGGCTTAGATCAGGACCTCAAGCACTTTAAACTGCTAAAGAGAAGAGTCCCCACAAGTAGTATTAAAAAACACAAACTGATAACATTCAATCTCACTGACCATCAAAACCAAAACCAAAAGACCACACACATACAAAAACACACATACACAAAACCACACACACACACACACACACACACAAACCAAACAGCACACAAGGCATGTGCACACATAACATTCAAGCAACTTCTGTACCTTCTGTGAAAGGCAGGACTTCTTCAGGAGCCACGAACTTGTGAAATGAATCTTCTTCATTAGGGAACTGGAAAAGAAAAAATTAGAAGAAAAAAATGGAAATCTGGCAATTCCACTTCTGGGTATATACCCAAGAGAAATAAAAAACAAATGGCCATAGGCACTTGTACCCAAAGATTTGCAGCAGCATTATTCACGAAAGCCAAAAGGCTGAAATAACTCAGATACTCATCAACAGATGAGTGGATAAATTAATTGTGGTATACCCATACAACGGAATGTTATTCAGCCATAAAAAGGAATCAAGTACTGTGCTAAGTGAAAGAAGTCAGAAACAAAAAGGTGCATATTATATGATTCCTTTCATATGAAATACCAAAAATAAGCAAATCCATAGATACAGAAAGCAGATTACTGATTACTAGGAGATGGGACAAAGGGGAATAGGAAGTGATTTCTTAATGGGTACAGAATGTTTTTCTGGGATGATGAACAAGTTTGGAAACTAGAGAGTGGTAGTTGCACAATGCTGTGAATGCAGTAAATGCCACTGAACTATACATTTTTAAATGATTGTATTATGTGAATTTCACCTCAATTTTTAAAAAAGGAGACACCTACAGATAGGGTGATATTTTCAAAGCAAATAGTTTCTATCACTGGTGAAATGGCTCTTCACTCAGTAACTGCTTGCATTCAGGCTACAGAGGACAGTTTCTGAAACTATGACAAATAAAACCAATTCTATGTTCCCAGTTTCAACTTCCTTGGCATTTTCAGAAACGATTGAGGGGGCAGGGAGTGGTGGCAATGGAAACAAAGGGCCTTCTCCAACTACATACTGTCCTGACCTTCCAATTCTGACTCCCTGAAGCTGACAGGGTGGAATTATCAATGGCTTTTCTTGGATCAAGACATTTCTGTGATCTAATCCACTGAGTAAATGCAGATAAAGAGAAGCCCCAGAGCGAGAAGGTAGAAGGCCCAGAGTTCAAGCCTATATTCTGACTCCCATTTGTGGGCTAGAGACAGACTAGAGACCAGCTAGAGACAGACAGACGTACCTGTGGGGAAAGCTTGAACATAGGTGCACAGACGATGAGTGGGGTGGAGTGGTGTTTTGCTGCCAGGGCTAGAGTATGAGTTCCTGCCACAGCTCTCAGTGCACCATTGGCCAGGATAGTCTTTGTGCCAATGATCACCTGTGGAACAGGAAGAAAAAGGTGAGACTTCTGGGAACAGAACCTTAAACAGGCCATTGGGCACAAGAGTCTGAATGCTCAGACCTCAGTCTTGGCATTGTGAGGGTCACATACCAGTAGAGGGAAAGGAATTCTAGGCTCAGAACACAAGTTCAAGCATAAAAGTGGATTCTCAAGGAAAGAATGAACGTAGTAAGACGGAAAACTGCAGTACCTATTGCTCTTAGCCCTGTCTTTCCTGGAAATCTCGCTGTCACACCTCCTGAGAAGTGAGGAGCTTTCTTAGTCACCATCCACCACCGCCAAGCTCCACCTGACCTCTAGCAGCTGACACACTTAGCTTAGTCCCACTTCATTCTTTTCAATGCTTTAACCAAAAAGAGGCTCCTCCAAGTCAGGAACAATGATACAGATAAAGGGGGAAAAAAATCAGTTAATAGACTAAAAAGGCCCAAGTATGTATTTTCAAATGGTGTTAGAAACTTTCTTTTCCTTTCAGGGGTATTATGCGCTGGCAGCGGTGGGAGGGAATCAATAGTTTTAAAAGTATAATCTTCATGAATTCAACATGACTCCAAATACACCCACCTTGTTGACTCTCGACATAACAGCAAAAATGGCAGCATCAGTCATGACAGTTGTCTCAATACCTGCCTTGGACAAATTGACGGCCATCTCATGACCCTGCAACAGGAGAGAAAGGCTGATGCTGGGAGAATGAGTCAGGGAGTGAAAGACCTCTCAAATGTAACTGGATCTGATGGATTCTGTGATACTGGGCATATCCAACACACAATTTCCAAGAAATAACTAACTCACTTGGTTGGTCTTCTCTGGTAAATGGCAGGAAGCCCAGGGGAAGCTAATAAATGTTTACTACTCCACAGTAGCACTAGAAAAGCCACAAAACTGGAAATATGACTTGCTTGTGTCATCAGGCAGAGATGACAAGATAGCTCCTGGCTCATTATTTCACAAACATCCTGCATTCTTACGTATTTTCTTTTTTGAGGCCTATTATTTATTTAAGGTTTGAATGAGGTCAGACCAAGCACCAGTCATCCTCAAGGTAATTTACCCTATTTTGATTCCTAAAAGAACCAATATTTATTTTTCCTTGAACCTAGCAGTTCATCCAACTTTCTAAATCAAGGCTTAAGAATGCTCACAGGATGAACAACTTGAAAATTCTCTTTATGTTTTACTCTATCTTCTCAATGTGTCTTATCAATTCAGTGATGGCACAGAATCCACCTATCCCTCCTTTACTCCCTCTGCATTTGAAATTATCGTAGTAACTCTAGCAGTCTCTGTACCTGACAGAAAGGAGCACACTCTGCCACAATGACGTGAAATTTCCTCTTTCGGGCAGCCTCTTTGAGGAAGGCCTCTACTGTTCGGGAGAAGCCAATGGTCATGATCACCTCATTGGAGTGGATGTGCTCCAGGGCCTGGGCTGCAATGTTCTCTGTTGTCCCTTCTGCAAGAAGCCAATTTTGCAAGAAAAATATGAAACACCATGCTACAACACAGACAGTCATGACAGAACATGTGCCCTTCACACAGACTGCCCACCAAACAGATCCTCGTAACACAGGGTAAATGGACTTAATGTGAAATGTCACATTTTCTTAAAAGCTCTACTTCCCTGGGACTTTCTGCCTCCCAAGTTCTTAGCCTGCTCTTTTTGCCCAGCAATACCCCAACTCATCAACTTACTTCCATCACCCTTGCCCTCAGCTCCTTACAACTTTTGAAGACAATGTATTCAGGCAAGAAATGGTCCAATTTGGGAAATCCTTAAGTCCTGAGAGTAGGGTAAACAGAGTCTCTCCCTAAAAGAACTCCTCCTCCAAAAGGTGGCCACACACCTCCACCTGAGAGGGAGGCCATGGAATAAGTAGGGGATGAATTTGGAAGTCGCAGCTCAGTGCACAGACAGATCTAGTTCTTTCTCCCCTGGGAACTCTGACTGTAATGAGTATCTGCAGGTCTCCTGGGTCACAAAGACAAGGGGGATGGAGACGGCCTGTGTATGTGTGTGTGTATGTGTATATGTGTGTGTGTATAAAAATTCAAGATGTTTAGTGAAGGAGGGTCCAACAGTTGTAGTTGTAGGGGGTTCTTCTTTAAAATAAAAATAAAGCTCTTCCCAGAGTCTCTGACACAGCGAGTTTACAGTCTAAAAAGGGTTGGTCTGAAAGGAAATGTGGAGAGGGTTATCTTAGTCCAGCCACCTGTTTCAACCCTTCCTAATCAGGATGAGGGCAAACCCTTGAGAAACAGAGGACTGGTTATCTCCCATCTCTGCTAATGAGTAACTTCCTGGGTCTTCTTTTCCCTCAGCTGCCTGCAACCTGTCCTGTCCCCCTAGGGATCAGGACTCACCCAGTTCCACAAGCAGCTCATTAATTGCCTCAATGATGTTGGACTGGAGTTGAGCATAATGAGAGCGAAAATCCTCGCTCAGGCCTCCGGATGTCAAGAGTTTGTGCAGGGACTCCTGCTGATCACTTTCGTCGCTGCGTCCGTGGAGTCTATGGAGGCAACAAGACCCAAAGAGGGAGGTGGGTAAGAGAGGTGGTCATTGAGGTAACAACCGCTGCTCAGGTCCCGTAGAAGTTCCAAACAGGGAGAGGGGCCTGTGCAAAACTCATCAGTGAGTCCAACCCCGGGCCCAGGACATGGGCCTGACCTGCCATACTCTTCCCGGATGATCCTGAGCACTCTCCGCACCATGTTGCCCACTGTGGTCTCTGAGGGCTGCGCGGCCGTCATCCTCCGGCCCTCTCTACGGATCAGTTCCATCAGTTCCCCTGCCGTCCAAAGAGAGAGAGTGAGAGGGGCAAACGCGCAGTGGGCCCTGAGCGACTTTCCGCCTGGGGATCGAGAACGGAAAGCGGCGAGGGAGGCGATGGAGCTAGGCCGGCCTCACCTGCGTTGCTCCAGCGGTGGTCCGTGATGATCCGGCGCAGCAGCCCCAGGGTCTCCCGGGCCATGTCCTCAGAGCTGTGCCGCCCACCTCCCCGCTTCAGTGCCTCCACAAAACTCTCGATCCTCTCGGAAAGCTCCGAGCCCTTGGCCGCAGCCCCTGGCATCTCGAAAGAAGCCGCCTTCCCGGCGGAATCCACACCTGCACGACCTCAGGGCTTGCACTTCCGGGGCAGGAGAGGCCGGCTTCCGCTCTGCGATATAAAACTCCAATTCGGGAGACGGCAGGGTCACGCCCCTCGCTGCCTCCTCCCGCCCCCTCCACCTGCCTGAGCCAATCAGAGACTTGGAGCTCTAGCGGTTCAGTCACAGCCGGGCATCCGCGCGCCTCCGCGGCAGGAGGGCCGGAAGCCTTTCCTGCCTTCTCAGACGCTGAAAAAAGCTGACTCGTGAGGTCTCAAGAGGGTGGCTAGCCCCGTTGCTGTGGAAACAGCTTGTCTGTGCCTCCCCCACTGTAACCCGAGGCTACACTGGAGAGGTTGCCGCCCTCTTTTCCGGCTCTTCAGCTCCGGTGACCGCCCAGCCTCCTGACACAGACGCTCAGAGTGCGAGTCCAGGGCCTGCCGCCCCTTGGGCAGACCTCCGCCCACCACCTATATTGTTATGTTGCATGATACTGGTTAGTTTGCGCCTGTGTCTCTAATAGATTCCGCTGCCTGAGGGCAGGGGCGGTATCTTTTTTTGCGTTTGCATTCCTAACGTCCAGCACGCCTTCTGTAAGAGGAATCAGGGATGAGGAGACTGAATACCCACCAAAAAGGAAGTTTGAATTGGGAGCTAATATGGGAGCAAAGATGATATCCTTCCATCTGGACAGACTACAGAGGCTGAACCATTTACTTAAAGTTTACTAGATGTTTGGCGCTGTGCGTGAATTGTCTCATCTAATGCAACTCTGAGAGGTAGGTCCTCTTATCCTCATTTTACAGATTAGGAAACAGCTACAGAATTGAAGCAGTTAGTAAGGGGATGTGTTCACATTTAAATCCAGGTGTATTTGAACCTAAAGTCTGTGTGTATTGAAAATCTCTTATTATTTAAGATAAATTAGAAGTGGAATCTTTGCGCACACTCATTTCTAAGACTTTTGTTACAGGTAACAAATTGCCCTCCAAAAAGATATGTCAGTACTACAATCAGACAAATACAGTACAAGAAAAGGAAATTACAGACCAATGTCCTTCATGAATGCAGGTGCAAAAATCTACAACAAATGATTAGCAAACCAAATCCAACAATACATGAAAGATTGATACATAATTATCAGGTAGAATTTAAACCTGGAATGCAAAGCTGTTTCAGTATTTGAAAATCAATCAATTTGAGAAACCATATTAACAATCTAAGTAAAACCACATGAACATATCAATTGAAGCAAGAAGCATTTGACAAAATTCCACAGAAATTGTATTTAAAAACCCCCAAAACTCAGAAAACTAGGAATAGAAGGGAACTTTTTCAGTGTGATAAAGAACACCTAACATCATACTTTATCGTGAAGGACTGCTTTTCTCTCTAAGATCAGGAACAAGCCAAGGACCACTCCTATTTAACATCATACTCAAATATCTAGTCAGTGTAATAAGACAAGAAAAAAAAAAGTTTAAAAACAGACTGGAAGGAAAGAAAACTGTCCCTATTCAAAGAAAACATCATTGTCTACATAGAAAATCCCAGAGAATCAATAATAACAAAAAACCTCCTAGAATAAGTGAGTTTAGCAAGAATACAGGGTCAACACACAAAAATCAATCATATTTCTACATACTGTCAATGAATAATAAGAAACCAAAATTGAAAACAAATAGCTCCCCAAAGCCATAAAATATTTTTCACTTTTACTGTGTGTTAAGTTTAAAATGTCTTAAAAGTTGTTTTAATTTACATGCTTACTAGCACCTACCATGTTCTGGCCATTTTTGGAATACTGTCATTATTTTTCCAGGTAATAAAGCCAATATGTACTGCTTTATACATACGAAATTATGTATGTGTTGTGTGTATATAATATATACATGCAAGTTATGAAACATGACAATGAAATAAACACCCATGAACCCATCTGTCAACTTAAAAAATCTCAAATTCATAGACACAGAAAGTAGAATGGCGGTTGTCAGAGGCTGGAGGGAAGGGTTAGTTATTGTTTAATGACAGTTTCAGTTTTATAAGATGAAAAGCATTCTAGAAATGGATGGTTGATGATGGATGTGCATTTGTACTGTACAACAATGTAAATGCATTTGATGCCTCTGAACTGCACATTTAAAAAGGGTCAAAATAGTAAACTTTATATTACGTGTATTTTACCACAATATTAAAAAATCAATACACATGTGACATTAAAAAAAAAAAACCTAGAATACTGCCAGTAACATCATGTCAGTGTGCTCTTCTACCCCATTTCCCGGCCTTCTGCTATACTCAAGGATAACCACTAAAGTAAGTTTTGATTGATACTCCTTTACTTTATTAAAAAATTTATTATATATTTATAATCCCTAAACAATATATTGTTTATTTTTGCTTGTTTTGGGTTTTTTTTTACAAATGATATTATAATGTAATCTTCTACAAGTTGCTTTTTTTACTCAGTATGACATGCCTAAAATTCATCCATGTTGTTACATTATCTATAGGCCTCTTGTTTGCACTGCTGCGTAATGTTCCATCATGTGACTATACCACAATTTATGTATTCTCTTTCCTTCAACAGATATTTGGATTGTTTCCAATCTTTTTTGAGGGTGGGAGAACATAAACTATAAATATTCTTGTGTATATTTTGGCATACCTACAAGTAGAACAGCTGGGTCATAGGCTATGTGAATATTCAACTTTACAAATAGTGCTAGTTTTCCAAAGTGGTTGAATCCTTGTATGCTCTCTCCAGTTGGGCTTAAAGAGTTTTAGTTGATCTACCTTCTTACCAACACTTGATATTATCAACTTTTTTGGGGGGGGTAGATCAGGTGAATATAAATGAATGTATCATTGGAATCTTAATTTATTTTCCTGATTACTAATGAGGTGACTCATTTCCTTTTTTCAAGTGTTTGTTGGTCAGGTGTTTTTTTCTCCTTTGTGAAGTAATCTGGGTTTGTGTCTTTTTAGCTACTTTCTTTTTATTTTTAAAATCTTTTTCTAATAGATTTATAGGCGTTCTTTATATAATATGCATGCTAATTTTTTCATAGCTTATGGCTTATCTTTTTATTCACTTTGCGATGTCTTTGAACAGTGTTCTTGATTTTAAAATGATTAAATGTATCAACCTTGTCTTTTATAGTTAATTTTTTTGTGTTTTATTTAGAAAATCATTCCCTAATCTAAGGGAATAAAGACAATTTCCTGTATTTTCTTCTGAATAATTAAAAAATTCACCTTTACACATAATTTGGAATTACTTTCTATGAAGGGTGAGGAGTAGGAATCAAACTTTATTTTCTTTTTCCATTCTTTCTCCAGTGATTTTCAGTGCTCCCACTGTAGTATGTGAAGTTTCTATATTGTGTGAATCTGTTTGAGGACCCTCTATTTTGTTCCATTGCTAAATTTGCTTATCCCTTAACCAATATTATATTATTTTAATTACTGTTGTCTTATTTTTTCAAGTCTTGCTATCTGGTAAGAAAAATCCCCTTACATATGTCTTTCTTTGAGAGTGTCTTGACTAGTTTTGGGCCTTTGATCTTTCATATATATTTTAGAAATAAATTGTCTATTTTTCAAAAAAAAACCCCACTCTATTGAGATTTTGATTGGCATTGCTTTAAATCTATAAATCAATTTGAGGACAATTAACATCTTTAAGATACTAAGTCTTACTATTCGTGAACATGGTATGTATCTCCATTTGTTTAGGTCTTTTTTAATGTCATTCAGTAAAAATTTTATGATTTTCTCCATATAGGTCTTGCATATCTTGTGTATAAAATTAATCCTAGGCACCTTATATGTGTGTTGCTATTGTAGATGATTATTTTTCATTTTATCATTGCCAGATTGATAAGAGGAAATATAGAAACTCCTTTTAATTTTCATTTCGTTAATCAAGATGAGCATTTTTTCATGTTTTATTTATCATTTGCATTTGCTCTCTTATGAGTTGCTGATGCATGTGGTTTGCCCATTTTTCTAATATGAGGTATGGCAGACATTCTGATTGTCCATTCAATTCCATTTTTCCCTTCTTCCTTGTTAAAAAGAACTGATTTTGTTTGGTTTCTACCCACAGAGAAGGTGATTTTAGCTTATGAGTAAATCCTGGTTGATCCATGGTAATTCTGTTCTCCTTTTTTTACGGATTTGTGTCAGGTAATTCATTTTCTACCAGTGAGATATGAGGGAAATCTGTTTGGGTCTTCTTGGAAAGATTTGTCTGTTCTTAAGAAAGAAACAGAGAAGACTGCTTAGTCGCTTATATTTCTGGCCTTCTTAGATATGATTCCTAGAGTTACTGTAGCTGTCTTGTGACCATGAGATCTCAAGACTGAGGATAATGTTAACATGCTGAGGATTTCAGGACAGAAAAACAGAGAGAACCTAGGCTCTTGATAATATCAACACTTGATGGGTATTTTACTTGATGGGTATTAACTATTTCATCCATAAAATAATTCTATGAGATAGATACTATTAATATAACCATTTTCAAGAGAGGAAACTAAGGCATAAATAGGATAAGTAGCTTGTTGAATGTCGTACACTAAATAAGTGGAAGGGGTGGGATATAAACCCAACAATCTAGCTTCAGAGCCTGCATCATTATTTTTTGTACTGTGGTGCCTTTTTTTAAAGTTGTGTGAGTGAAATCAATAAATTCAGAAGTTGCCCTACCTTTAGACTTCTTATTATATGGAGTGATAAATTTCTTTATTGTTTATATTGGAAATTTATTTATTTCTTTATTGTTTTAATTGGAAATTTCTGTCACTTGCAGCCCAAAGCATCTTGATATTGGATATTTATTTTTTTCAAGTTGACATATAAGATCTATTTATACATTATGTATACCAACTATTTGACTTTGAATTGAATTAGTTTTATTGAAATATTAGTGTTTTCAGAAACTTTTCCCAATTCTCATCTATTGCTATGTGATTGTAAATTGAAACCTTTTGTAGGACAATTTGAGAAAAAAAAAAGCAAAAGACTTTAAAATGTTCATTCATACCCTTTAAACCAGCATG